CTAAAGGGCAGAAAAAATAAGAGTTTTAAAATATTGCAAATTTTGTGGTGGTCATTTAGAGATAAAATTATAAAAATAAGCACAGAAATTTACAATTCATAACATTTTGATTAGGCATGAAAAAGTGAAAAATATAAAAGTTTTTAATTTACAATACAATCTAGAAAAATTATAAAGTATATATTCTTATGATTATCGAATAAAATATCATTTTTTTTTAAGAGCATCTATCATCTAAATTAAGTTATTGAAGAATTATAAAGAATTTTTATTATACATTTAAAAAAATGATTTCAATAACATATATATATATATAGCTAATATTTATAATTTTTATTATTAATTATAATGAAATATTATAATCTATGGACTTTTATAATAAAATAAAATTTATATATAAGATACACTCCATTTAAGAATTTGGAATAATAAAAATGGATAACTTTAGGTTGCTCTTTACAGAGTGAATTAATGCAATAAGCTTCAATATTAAATATTAATATATTTATATTGATCTTTGAAATGTCTATAATTAATATTAATGATTATTTTTAAACATTATCGATATGTTTGTTACGAATAAAGAAATGGGTTGTAATAAATAGGATTAGATAATTATATAAAAATACATTGGAAAGTGACTTTATATAAATGAGCAAGATTGATTATAATATCAATTAGTATAATTCATTAATATTAACAATTTTTTATTGTGATAAATATAAATATATAATCATGGGGAATATTTGCAAGCCATAGGTTTAGTTAATAGAAGAAAATGAGGTAGATTTAAATAAAAAAGTTGAAATTGAAGAATAAAGAAAAAAAGGAAATGAAAAATAAGAAAATAATAATGATTAAAAATAAGAATCTATAACGGACGATCAAAAACAATATTAAGATAATTAGGATGGATAAAAGATGAGAGGTGAAAATAATTAAGAAGTATTTTATAAAAATAGATTTTTAGTTAAAAAGAAGAGAAAACAAAAAAATGGCATAAATAGCAGCTGTTATTGATTAGGAAGTAATTTATGAAAATATCTAAAAACAAAATAAAGCAAAAAGTCCTTTTGATTTTTAACTATTATTGAATGCATTTACTAATAGTTTTATATTTGCACAGTTGTAAGGCGACGACATGTATCAAAAATTGAATATTATTTTGAGTAAAAGTTATTGATAAAATGTTCTATTGTACAGTTAAAGATTAAGAGATGGTATTTAAATAAGGAGATAAGGGAAGTTCATATTTTTTGATTGAAAGAGGTTAATGCTAAATTATAATAAATAATGATGTAAAGAAAACATTAAAATCTGGAGAAGCATTTGGTGAATTAGCATTATTATACAATGCTCCAAGATCTGCATCAGTGAAAGCTGTAGGAGGTACCAAATTTAGTAATAATTTAGATTGTGCCTTTTGGGCAATAGATAGAAACACAGTTAGAAAAGTGATAGAGGAAATCTCATTAAAGGATTATGAATAAAATAAGGAATTTATACAGAAAGTTCAATTTTTTGGTAATAAAATATAAATAATAGAATAGAATCACTTACTGATGATTAAAGAACAGCAATTACATCAGTTCTTATAACTCTTAACTTTAAAGCTGGTGAGATAATAGTGAATGAAGGAGATTAAGCAGATTCATTTTTTATTATAAAGAGAGGAGAGATAGAGATTTCTAAAGGAGGCAAATAATTAAGAATAATGTAATAAGGAGATTCTTTAGGGGAATAAGCATTATAAAGTAATTCAGTAAGAGGAGCAACAGCAAAAGCACATTAAGATGTTATATTATTGGCTTTATCAAGAGATGATTTGACGAGAATTTTGGGAGATAAAATATAAACTATTATGTTTTTGAATTTATAAAGATGGGCATTTGAACGTCATCCTATTTTAAAATAATTAACAAAACTTTAAGTAGAAAGGATAGTAAGTACAATGGAACAAAAATAATATAAATAAGGTGATGTGATAATAGAGAAAGGATAATAATGTACACATTTGATAGTAGTTTTAATGGCAAATATTTAATATGGATAATAATCAATAGAAAAAGGGTAAATGTTTGGTGATAAGTTTTTGGAATAATAAAATTAAAATTTAACTGATTCTTTGATAATGAAATCAGACGGTTTGATAAGTTAGATATAAATAAAAGTCTTTTTTGAAATTATTGGTGGTACTTTAGAGTAAATCTTTTTAAAAAATGAGAAAGCCCATGATAGATTCATAAAAAAGGAAGAAGGATAAAAAAAAGATCAGTATGACCATTTTAAATTAGAAGAATTAATATCAATAAAGAAATTAGGATAAGGATAATTTGGTAATGTTTATCTAGTTCATAATAAATCTGATAAGAAAAATTATGCACTTAAATGCATATCTAAAGCTTAAATAATTGAGTAAAATTTAGAAAAGCATTTAGCCTAAGAGAAATAAACATTATAAACAGCTAACTTCCCACTAATTATGCATTTTGTTAAGAGCTTTTAAGATAAAAATTACATATACTTTTTATAAGAATATATAAAAGGAATGGAGTTATTTGATGTCATTAGAGAAATTGGACTTTTGAATACTTATGATTCTTAATTTTATATAGGATCATTAATTTTATGTATGGAATATCTCCATCTCAATAACATTATTTATAGAGATATTAAACCAGAAAATATTATGGTTGATGATAAAGTATAAATTATATCTATAATAAGGGTTTTATGAAATTGATTGATTTAGGTACTGCTAAAAATCTTAAAAATAAGAATGGTAGAACATATACTATTATTGGAACTCCTCATTATATGGCTCCAGAAATAATATCTGGAAAAGGATACACATATTCAGTGGACTTATGGTCTATAGGAATATGTTTATATGAATTTATGTGTGGTAATGTACCCTATGCAGAGGACGCAGAAGATCCGTAAATCTTGATTTAAACTATTTAGATATGATATTTATGAGGAAATCTAAAGAAAATCCTTGAATTTCCCTTCTGTCCTCAAAGATCGTAAAGCTAAGAAACTTATTGAATAACTCTTAAGCAAAACTCCTGAGTTAAGATTAGGATCATCATATGCAAGTTTAAAAAATAATTAATTTTTTGAACACTTTGATTATGATTCATTAATGAATCGAGATTTAAAGCCTCCCTATCTTCCACCTAAGAGCAAACTATAGAGTGACAAAGAAATCTAAAAAGCCATTTAGGCTGGGAAACTAATTACTGAAGAAATTAAAGTATCAAATATTTATATAACTATAGACTGATCCTACAACAACAAATAACATATATAAACCAGAAATAGCAAGAGATCCTAATTGGGATAAAGATTATTGAACAAAAATTTATTTCTTATGCTATGACCACACAATTTATAAAATTATCAATTTCTAACATCAAATTACATTAGATTCATCTAATTCAAAATCCCAAAATAAAGTTTTTTATCTTTACAACTTATTAAACCTTTATAGAAATGAAGTTTTAATTTTTCATCAACTAATTTCTAATCAAATTGAAAGAATTATTTATCTTTATCATTCACTTTAATTATTTGAGTTTTAATTAATTAATCTGTTAATAATTCAAAAAGTATAGTATTTGAATCCTAATAATTTAAAAGAGCCAAGTCACAAATCTAAGATCTATAAATTTATAATACTTATTTATCATCCAGTGGGCAATTTTTCAATTTTAATAAATTGAATACTCTAGAGTGTTTTTGAGAATACTTGTCTTCAATCCATTTGAATTCTAGATTTTCCTTTAATTCTTTCTATTTTTATTTATATAAATTTTAATCTTAAAAACTAGAAATCCCATAGATTTATTTTAGCTATTACATAATAGTCTATTTTAAAAAATAAAAAAATACATTATATTTTACAATATCCATTAATCCTGTCCAATTTATTTATAAAAGGGAATTCTATGTAAGAGATTGTTACTTTTAAGTTTAAACTTCTATTTTTTTTTTTGCTTTTTAATTTTTCTTATCAGATTTATTTTTTGTATCATTATATGTAGCTTCTTAGATTTCCTCTTATTAATCAACTTATACAATTTATAGTAAACTTTTGTCAAATAATTCATTAACTAAACCTTCTAAAGCACTTTCCTTTATATTTTCTGAAATTAGATTTTTAATTCCAAATACTCCATTTTTGAGTGCATAATCAATAATAATATTATAATTCTTTTCTATATTCAACAATTCTGATACATATTCTCTCCCTAATATTGCATTATGATTAACAAATATTAATCCTTTTCTTTTTTATTTGTTTTTAGTTTATTTCTAATCATCTGACTATTTTTTTTCTTTATCACTTTAAAATAATTATTTTATTTCAGAGGCATTATCCTATGGCTTTTTGATTTTATAACCTATGATTTAATGTTTTATTCCAAGAGTAATAACAATCTCTAAGAATTTTAAATCATCAAATTATGTATATTTTAAAATATCTGTATATTAAAGGGGTCCATATTAATCAAGTACATGTATCACTTTTCCCATTGCTTTTCCAAAATGTTATTCTGCTAGCTAAGAAAAATATAAAGTGCGAAATGTATGCATAAACTAATTAATTTATTTAGAATGATAAAAATTACAAGTCCACTTTTAAATCATAGATTTAAAATGGTACGAGTTTAATGTAAACCTTATGATAATGTTGAGTTAATTAGAGATCAAATTATGGATGTTATGAATGAATATCTCTAAGAGAATGATGGGTAATAGTGCTTATTTATTTTTTTTAAAGAAAACTTATCAATGTAAAAGTAATTTCAAATAATCAAATTGCAGTATATTTTGTAACAGGAATAGAAATGGATGATACTGATTGGGAATAATAAATTATTAGAGGGCCATTATAAAAATTTACTATTTTATCAAATTCCATAGAAATTAGACCTTCACGATTTTGAATTGATTTATAAAATTCATAATTTCTATATTTATTTTAATTATACACAATGAGAAATTATTAGTCATAGCATAAAAATCATATGAAGCTCACAACCAAAACTAAATAATAATTTAAGAAATTGTTTTTAATAAAAAAGGATAAGTATACATTTATTTCATAATATTTTTAGTCTCTTTTCAAAGTTATCATAAAAAACATCATCACTTATTACATGTTTTTTAAATATATAAGAATTCAACACTTTACTTTTAGTTTCAAAAACTACATATTAAATATTTAATCAAACCTCTGGTTGTTTTCAAATAGAATGTTTAAGACTGTTGAATGTTAAGTGTGAGTTAATTTAATCTTAAAATTGGAAAATACTCTTATAAAGTGTAATGTGTATTCCAATAAGATCATTACCTTATGGAGAAGCAATCAAAAGTGTAAGATATTAAATTAAATAATTTCCAATCTTTATAGAACAGAAAATAAATTACTGTGGATTTTAGAAGGCTTTTCTATATTATGAAAGTTAACTTAGTGAAAAAAAAAAATTTATTAAAACTGTTGATTACAGATCAGCGCTACATTTTGCATCAAATAACACAGATATATTATTAAGAGTAAGGTAAGGATTTGAAATCCATACACAATTACCAGAACTACTGATTTTAATCTATAATTTACATGATTATGTAAAAATATTTTGTAAATATCTGGAAATAAGATTTTCTAAATGTAACTTAGAATAATTTATATAAATTTGGCATCATTATTAGGGATGGATAAGTTCAGTAGAAAATTAAACATTTGACTTAATATTCTTGTTTAATAAAATCATTGATGAAAGTCTACATTAATACAAATTACCAAAATATACTATCCGTCATTTTATGGTATGTGAATGGATGAAGAAAGCGAATAAAGGAGAACTCATTGTCAAGTTAAGAGAAGACTTTAGATTATAATGATAGAATGCAGAAATAAAAAAATTAAATCTTAATTATTAAGATAATATGTTTAATATCTAATTGATATTGGTACAAATCAAAATAATATTCATTAATAAATAAACTGACAAGATTTCTATTTTAGGTAAAATAGCCTTAAGATCTGAGTTTTGTTTGCCGAAAAGTGAAGCCAAAAATTTTTAATCATTTTAAGAATGTTTTAAGAGAAACAACATCCTATCCTAATTCAAATTCCTTGAGAAAAGATTAAAGAATGGTTTATGAATTCCACAGTTCGTTTAAATTTGATTGATCCACATATTACATTAACCAATCTATGTGATTTTGAGTAAAATGAAATTATTATTAAAATGAGTTGCTGAGGAATATAAGCATGGATTAGCAATTTGTAAGTTACAGTATATTTTATTCCCATATAATCACCTTTTATTTATATATTAGTTTATAATAACTAAATTTTAGGAAATATCATTAGAAGAAGCAAATAGATAGTGGGCTCGTTGAAATCATTATACACTGGGCTTATTTTGAAGGGATACTATATACCAAAATTCTAGTCATCATGTGTGTAGCACTAAACAAAGTGTTTACCTACAAATCACAGGATATTAAAGTTGCATATTTGATATAAAAAGCAACCAAAATTGATTTATATAGAGAATTATTTAAATTGGTTGGATAAGAAATTGAGTTGGGCTTCACATCCGAAAAGTTGCCAAATCGAGATTGGTTAGTGAATACATTCTTTTTGGTTTCACCAAATCATTACTATTTTAAATATCCGAATTTCAACATGCTTAGGGGTTTTTCATTTTAAGATATATAGTAAATATATTATTAATATTATAACAGAAAATTAAAGGATTTGAATACTTCAATGTATCGATCAAAAAGACTTAGAATATTCAAAGTTCTATTGAAGAACTTTAAAATTAGAAAGCAAAGAGAGTCGTTCAGTTAATGGAGAAGGTAAAGACATAATTTAAGGAGGGAACAAAAAAGTAAACAAATATGATGGGGAAAATATAAAAATTAAAAACTATTCTGAAAGAATTTTAATAAGGTGGAATTTAGTAATAAGCTGACGATTTAAACTCCATAGTGTTTTAAATGAACTTTGAACTTCAAGAGGAGTTTCATAGTGATTGATCATAAATTCCTGTAATTTGTTTTTTGTAGAAAAATTTTCTTATATATTTAATAATTAAACTTATAAATATCTATGGCATAAATTTAAATACAAATCGTTCCTAATTTATTTCAAGAACAAAAATCAAGTAAGTAAGACAAATAAAAAAATTTCATCGCTTTAAAAAAAAAAATGGTATTATGAGTACAAACAACAGCAATCAAGGAGTAATAAATAATTGCAAGATGGTTGATCATTCATATGATTAGAAATTATAGCTTAACATAAAATTAAGCTATTTTTTGAATTGTAATTCAGGTATTCAAAAAGGATGAAAAAACCATAAATATAGATAAGCAATTTATAAAAATAACTATCGATAAAAAAAAGATCAAATTAGCTAATTAATTTAACAATAGATTTGACACCTAAATTAAATATTGAGTATTAATAAGATGAAGAATTATTGATTTATATATTTGGATAGTATGTATATGATTATTATATATTTGAATTATCATCTGCATTTAGAGTTGATTAATTCAAATATGNTATAATCACCTTTTATTTATATATTAGTTTATAATAACTAAATTTTAGGAAATATCATTAGAAGAAGCAAATAGATAGTGGGCTCGTTGAAATCATTATACACTGGGCTTATTTTGAAGGGATACTATATACCAAAATTCTAGTCATCATGTGTGTAGCACTAAACAAAGTGTTTACCTACAAATCACAGGATATTAAAGTTGCATATTTGATATAAAAAGCAACCAAAATTGATTTATATAGAGAATTATTTAAATTGGTTGGATAAGAAATTGAGTTGGGCTTCACATCCGAAAAGTTGCCAAATCGAGATTGGTTAGTGAATACATTCTTTTTGGTTTCACCAAATCATTACTATTTTAAATATCCGAATTTCAACATGCTTAGGGGTTTTTCATTTTAAGATATATAGTAAATATATTATTAATATTATAACAGAAAATTAAAGGATTTGAATACTTCAATGTATCGATCAAAAAGACTTAGAATATTCAAAGTTCTATTGAAGAACTTTAAAATTAGAAAGCAAAGAGAGTCGTTCAGTTAATGGAGAAGGTAAAGACATAATTTAAGGAGGGAACAAAAAAGTAAACAAATATGATGGGGAAAATATAAAAATTAAAAACTATTCTGAAAGAATTTTAATAAGGTGGAATTTAGTAATAAGCTGACGATTTAAACTCCATAGTGTTTTAAATGAACTTTGAACTTCAAGAGGAGTTTCATAGTGATTGATCATAAATTCCTGTAATTTGTTTTTTGTAGAAAAATTTTCTTATATATTTAATAATTAAACTTATAAATATCTATGGCATAAATTTAAATACAAATCGTTCCTAATTTATTTCAAGAACAAAAATCAAGTAAGTAAGACAAATAAAAAAATTTCATCGCTTTAAAAAAAAAAATGGTATTATGAGTACAAACAACAGCAATCAAGGAGTAATAAATAATTGCAAGATGGTTGATCATTCATATGATTAGAAATTATAGCTTAACATAAAATTAAGCTATTTTTTGAATTGTAATTCAGGTATTCAAAAAGGATGAAAAAACCATAAATATAGATAAGCAATTTATAAAAATAACTATCGATAAAAAAAAGATCAAATTAGCTAATTAATTTAACAATAGATTTGACACCTAAATTAAATATTGAGTATTAATAAGATGAAGAATTATTGATTTATATATTTGGATAGTATGTATATGATTATTATATATTTGAATTATCATCTGCATTTAGAGTTGATTAATTCAAATATGAGATTAAACAATTTCATTAAGAAAGCTAATAAATGTCTAAGATTTTGGTTAAAAATTTTGAAGATTATAATAGTTAGAATATTATCTTTGGTAATGAAGTTTAAAACTTTAGATACTATTTATCCTTATAATAAAATGTTTAAATTAAAATTAGATCTTTATTTAAATAGGTAGCTTTAATGGAAGATGATTTATATAATTCTATAGAAATTATAGTAGCAGAAAGTTTAGGAACATCAGGAATTTCTTTAACATCTACAAATTGTAGTTCAGTAATATCGAGTATAAGAAATAATGATTAATTATATCATTATATAAAATTTTATTAAAAAGAATTATTTAATAAAATTTAAAAATTTTACTTCAAGGAATACGATGTGTACTAGTATTCATTAGAATAGGAACCAGTCAATAATATTATATATGATATTTCAGAATTAGCTGAATATGATTATATCTAGCATTAAAATTTAATGGAATTATTTTATAATTGAATTTAAAGATCAAATGCAATGTATTAATTAGAAAGAAGATAAACTATTATGACATCTAATTACTAGAGTAATTAATGTTAAATCTAAACATAAACACTTAATCAAGCAGAATAACTTTTTAAAGACCTTTAAAAATGAATTCTAATTTTTGTTTATTGTATTTTTGTAATATTATACTATATTCTATTAACAATAAATTAGATTATATATATTTTGTTTCTATTATAATTTATAAAAATAAATAATTAATTAATTAAAATAAATAAATTAACTTACATAGATAATCATCATATATAATATCATACTATTTTACTTAGGGCATTTTTCATATTTTTGAAGTTCATTAATACTTAATTTAATTTAGTTTCAATTTAATCTTTTTCTATTTTAATTTATTTTACAGCTTAAAATAAAGTTTAAGTCTTTTATTCTTTTTCTTTAATTAAGTCTTCCAACTCTTTTTCTTTTTTCTACAATTATTATATTTATGATTTTTAATCAAAATTTAATTTATTTAAAGTAAATATTTATTCTTCTGCTTTAATAATTCTCTCTTCAAATCTTTTTGCTCTATCTTGAATATAATATTTCATTTCTTTTTGAGAATCTAATTCAACTTTTTAATCATCTATTTAAGATTTTAATTAATAAATTTATTTATGTTACAATAGTAATAATTTTGAGAAATAATTACAAGTTTATTATAATTATTAGGATTCTAAATGAAGATAATGCCCATGAGCTACAAATTTAGAAAAAGTCATTTATAAGACTTGCATAAAGTCCTACATAGTAAATTTTGGTTGATAAGTAGGTGTTGGAATACATTTTCTACCAGTTTAAAATAACTGTTGATTGATTTATAAACTCTTTTTAACTAAATCAACCATTTCTCTTCTTGTTTATATAACTTAAGCTTTAAGGAATGGAACCTACAAGGAATCCAAAATAAGTGAATCAATATCTTAATATTCTTATTGAAGTTATATGGATAAATCACTTAAAGATTTAATCTATTTATTTTATTAAGGTTAAGAAGGACTAACGTTAATATTTTTATTAGAATTTTAGACATGAGTACCTGTATATGATTTAATTTTGGTGAATATATTAGAGGCAGTTTATGCGACATTGTATTATGTTGAGTTTTATTATTTTTATTATTATTATTCATCTGTTTCTCCTAATCCTAATAAATCTTCATTCTAATAAATAGAATCATTTTAGGTTTATTGTTATTATTATTATTATAAAACTTGTTATTAATTTTGGAATTTGCCCTCAATCAATTCATATGCATCATTAAATATCTCATTCATATATTATCCAATATTGAATTTAAAAACTAAGAATTTAGCAATTCCAATTTAAATTATCTCTTCTGGTACTTAATAAACCATATCATTAAAATAACTAATAATAAATTTTATGAAAATATTACTTAAATTCTGTTTTTAAATACTTTATTTCTTTATTTAAAACTGAGGTTCTATAATTGACTATGTAATTTAATAATGATCGATTATTTTAGATGATAAAATACATTTATTTACTTGTTAACATTAATGTGAATATATCTTTAGGTTCTAAAAATGATAAGATAGTAGATTTATATTTATTAGTTAAAAGAGTATAAATATTACTTTCTTTATATTATTAATTTAATATTTTATAAGCTCCTTGAATAAATAATGCTCCTGCTCTTATTTCTTTCATTTATTCTAATTCAAAGGATGTTACATGGTTAGTCTTTTCTGCTAAAATGAGTTTCATTTCTACTTCATTAAGTCTTTATTAATAGTTATTATTAGCTTTTAGTAATAAATCATTTTATGTAAGATATTTAATATTAATTTCTTCTAATTCTTTATTTCTAAGTTTTAATTGTTCACATTCTTTAACCAAATCAAATTAACGTTATTCATAATTATTTTTGATCTATAAAATAAAATGAGATGAATTTACTTCTTCCATTTATTGCATATAAGTATCTTCAATATTTTTTATAATTTATTCTTTTGATAAAATAGCTTTGATCTAATTCTGTAATTGCAATTTGAGACTATCTATTTCATTTTATTAAGTTTAATAATCATTGATGATTTCTCTTAAACCTTTTACTTAATCCTTGACTGATTATATTTTTTCAAATCTCTCTTTATCTATACTATTATTGAATATGATTAATAAGTACATTTGTTTATTATGTTTATTATATAATTTGTCTAAATCTTTTTAGAGAGAAGAATCCATAAAAATCATAAATTTATATTAGGATGGTTACAATATGATCATTGGTTGAACAGAATCATCTTGTTTAATTTGTTATTTCATTTATATATATTTTTAATTTAATTAACGAATGAAGTATTTCCAAAATGGATTGAATCAAATTTGCTAATAAATAATTAGACCAGCAAGAGCAGAATATACAATATATGATTTATGTAATTCTAAATAATTATTATTTTAAATAGCTTCTTATTAGATTTAAGAAGATATTTAATATATAAGAGAGGATATTGATATCATCAATCCTAGATAAGAAGTTATTAAAGTTAGTTAATACAAAGGCTAATAAAAAAGTGATGTTTGCATTATATATTTGCATACAGCGAATGGTTCTAGAATGGAGGTGAGTAAATATGTATCAATGATTATTAAAAATGGCTTTGGTTTGATTTCATTTGATTTTACTGGATCTGGAATGTCTGATGGAGATATTGTGACTTATGGATATAGAGAAGTTGGAGATTTATAAACTGTTATTACACATTTCTAATCATCATATAAATAAATAATATTATGGGGAAGATCTATGGGTTCTGCTGTTGCTATATAATATATGCAAAAATTCAATAACATACTCATTAAAGGAATGATCTTGGATAGTCCATTTGTTTGCTTATATGATGTAAATAAATACTTCAATTGAATTAGGTCATTTTATAAATGGCATCAACTAAAACTAAAATTCCTAATTTCATATTGAAGAGTCTATCTACATTTGTATCAAATGAACTCAAAAAATAAGCAGGATTTGATTTAGAGGAAATAAATTGTTTGAAAAAGATATCTGCTATTAAATGTCCTGCTATATTTATCACTTCCAAATTAGATACAATTGTACCATCTGAATAAACTGAAAAACTATTTAAATCTTATACAGGTATCAAATAAATCCAATACACAAATCAATAACATAATGGTATAAGAGATCATTCTTTTATTGAAACACTTATTCATTGGTTTAAAAAGAGAACTCCTATCTTTGAGAGATTAGGAGTGGGCACTTAAATTAAATAGAGAATTATGCATAAATAAAAAAATACATTAGGATAAATTAAATAGGTTTCTTTGGATCTCTATAAAGAAAGATCTTCAACACTTGAATGTTGTAATTATTATTTTTATTTTAGATTAAAAAAATTTGAATACTTCTATATCTCCAAGATAAATAATCGTAAATAAAAAAAAATTAACTGCGGAAGAGAAGTATAATCAATTATTGGAAACTTAAAGATCTCTTTATTTAGATCGTTCAGTATCTGCAAAAAGAATTTAGATTAGCAACTCTATTGATTATTAAATTTCTCCAATGCCTTTGGGGCCTTTAAGTAATAAAATAGTCAATACATCATAACATAATTATTTCTCTCATTCAAAACCTATTACTTTTACTAAGGTTCCTCATAAGACTAAAGATTGTACTTATGCTTGATTATATTTTTTGATAAGTTATTACATTAATTTTAATATTTAATAAAAAAGAGGTTAATTTAATTCATTGTTTCTTACATTTCAAATAACTTAAATTTACCCTATTAATAATCTAATTTACATGTATCGCATACAGATTTTGAATCTATAAAATACCAATTAAATTAAAATATATAAATTAAAATGGGATAGGAATGCCAGAAATGCAAAGCTTACTCAGTTAAGGAAGAGTTTGACATTAAGAACATGGATGAAGAGTTAGGAGATGAGAGTCCTGACGTAGAGTAATCCTTTTTAGATGAGGAGGATGAAGTTAAAAAACATAGTATTATTATAAATTATAGGAAAGATAGGCCACCATGTTTAGATAATTATAAGAGAGGAAGAATGTTAGGGAAGGAGGAATGCTATGATTAAAATGATCCTAAATTATCTGCTACAATAGAAAATAAAGAAATGGCTTTAACTGAAGAACAAAGAGGAGAGGAGATTATATTAGCAGACGGATCAAGATATTAAGGTAATGTGGTAGATGGAAAGGCAAATGGAAAAGGAAAGTTATGGTTAAATAATGGTGATATTTATGAAGGAGACATAATTAACAATATTATCTAAGGAAATGGTGTCTATTACTATAATAGAGGGCCTATTTATAGTGGATAATTTTTGAATGGGAAATCTGAAGGAATAGGTAAGGAGATGTGGCCAGATGGATCAATTTATGAGGGATAGTTTAAAAATGGTAAAAAACAAGGTTAAGGATTATATAAGTGGAGTTAAGGATGTATTTATGAGGGAGAGTGGTGCGAGAATATGATACATGGTTAAGGAAGATATGAATGGTCAGATGGTAGGGTAATTGTATAAATGTATCTATAGTGTTATTAAGGAAATTGGAATAAGAATCAGATGCATGGGAGAGGAAAGTATTTATGGAAGGATGGAAAGTATTATGATGGAGAATATGAATATGATAAAAAATGTGGTTTTGGTATATTTGTTTGGGCTGATGGTAAACAATATTAAGGTTATTGGTTTGATGGTAAATAACATGGTAAAGGATTGATGATAAATAAAGAGGGAAAGAAGAAATTTGGAGAATGGGTCAATGGAAAGTTAATTAGTTGTAGTGAGGAGACAAATGTATAAATAATTCCTGAGGGTTGGATTAATAAGGCTTGACTTCTTTTGTTTATTTTCTGCAACTACTTAGTTTTTTATAGGTTTAATTTATTTATACATTGCTATTATATTTAATCAATTAAATGGAATTTTTTGCTGGGTTTTTAAAGAATACTTTTTATTATTATTAATAAAATACTTATTATTATCAAAAAAATGGCCAATCCTCATATTCCTGTTGAATTTAATAAAGATGATGATGAATTGAAATGTCATCCATCTTAAAGTGGTTCCACAGCTACTCCTACACTCTTTGAGAATACAAATAATTCTAAAGCATTCTGTGCATAGTTTTTTGAAGATTAATTACACTAAGATGGTACTATATTTCATTATATATTTAAGATGATGAATTTGATGAACTAAATCAATAATTAAATTAAGTCTTACTTAGTGATTCATTTAAACCTTCATTAACCTAAGCATTTACGGCTGACATGTATTCAATTTTTAAAACGATTAGGTCATCATATCTTAGTCATGAAAAGTTGACAAAAAATTCAAGAAAAATGTAGTTAGAATATTAGAATGCTAATTTAAAAGAGAAAGAATTCGTATTTAACACTTATATAAAAAATGATATTGAAAATTTTAGTTTAGACAAGTACAGACATTATATACTTGAAAAAATAATTGAAGTTGGTAATTTAGGATTATTTATTGTTAAGGTCCACCATCCCATAAAAATATTATTCTAGATAGAATATATAAATAAATACATAAACTTATTAAAGATCTTTATGCTTGTAAAGTTATGCAAAAAGGTTTAGAAGTTATGACATTCAATCCATAAGATTCTCCAGAATAATTGGAGAATTATCTTTCATTTATACATTAGGATAATGCATAAATGAAGAAAATTTATATTGATAAAATTGCTAATCAAATTATTTAAAAGAGTTTGGAAATCCTTGAAGGTAGTAATCTATTGAAGTTACTTTAAATTCTATAAAAATATGTAAGATTCTTGAATAATATTCATAGATTCTCAATAATAACAAAGAAAAGTTTGAATTATCAACTGATCAATATGGATGTCTTATTGTCAATAAGATAATTGATATTTATCCTAAATAATTTGAATTATAAACTAAATAGATTTGTAATGACATAATTGTTAGAGCTATTGAAAATTGTTCATGTCTTACAAGAAGATAATATGCTAATTATATAATTTAATAAATATTGGAAAAAGGATAAGAAGTTCATAAAAGATTGTTAATGGATCAATATCTTATTAAAGATTTTATTTCAATGTCTTTGGATAAGTATGGTAGCAATGTAGCAGAAAAAGCTATTATATATGCAGGACCATAATGGAGATTGAAATTATGGGAAGAAGAAGTTTCTATTTCTGAAAGGTAAATATAGAATTATATTATTTTATAGTTCATTTAAGAAATTGATAAATGATCAATATGCTAATTATCCAATATAAAGACTGTTTGAATATTTGGAATAATAACAAAGGAATGAATTTATTGCTTTATTACATAAATTACATGGCAATAATCAATTAAATAATCATGGATAAATTGTTATGAAATTTGCTTAAGCTAATTATTCTGTCAAAAGATACACTCAAAAGATTGTGTAGTCAGAATTAAATAAACATAATAAGAATTAAGATAAATGTAATAACAATTATAATAAAGTGTAAAAGTAATAATTAAATTAATAAATTTCATAATTGTAGATGCAATAATAATAATAATTATTATATCAATAATAATGCTAATAATAGATGTAATAAATAATCTTATAACAATCATAATTTAAATAATTTGATCAATAATAGTATTAAGCTTCTGTTATGCAATAAATGCTGATGTTTTAATAATAATAATAACAATTATTAACTTAAATGCCATAATTGTATAATTAGGATATGAATTATATACCTTATCCAATTATGACATAAGATTAATAGATGATGATGTTAAGATGGATTCAATCATAATAACAACTTTGCAACTCAAATATTAAATTCCAAAATGGATAATAAAAATGACAATCATGTTAATGATAAATATTATACATATATATATATAATTATAATAATAATTTATTCCTGAAATGGAAGTTTTGCAAAAGATAATATAAAAATCTGGAACAAACTTATCTCTTATTGATCTAGAATTCAAGTAAAATAATAGTAGTATATCAGACAAATCGAAAATTTGAAAGAGGTACTTCCACTGCTTATTTAATTTAAGAATCTAAAAGAAGTAAGTTAAATACATATAATTATAGTTAAATTTACATGGAAATAGATTAAGATAATTACCAGATGACCTATCATAATTAAAGAATCTTGAAACTTTAGATATAACAAATAATATGTTTGAAAATGTAATGCTTATTTTTAATTTAGTTATAATAAGTAGTTCAATCATTAAAAACATTACCTTCATTAAATCATTTAGAAATAGCATTAAAATCTAAAGAAGAAGAAGAATTTATAATTGAAAATCTACCATAATTAGTCATGTTAAATCAATCAGCTATTAAAATTGAAGATTAATCTGAATAACAAAGTGATATGTAATCAGAGAGATCAGCAACAGGTTTGGAAATAACATTATAATAAGAAGATTTAGAATAAATGGCTGTATATATTATATTATATATTTATAGTTGCTTCATGATAGTATCAAAGAGTTAAGAAAAGAAGATGAAGAATCAGAAAAATAAATATCTTCAGTTTTTGAAAACTCAGTTAAGACTATAATGAAAGAATTATAGACTAAATTAGCATAAAAAACACCTGAGCATATAACAAATTTAACAATTCTAAAAGTTTAAAATTTATTTTTAAAATAGGCAAAATATAATTTATATGAAGTTTGTTTTTAATTGTTTATAAGATACTTTAAATTAACAGATAAAAAGTTAGAATAGATTCTAACTAAAATACATGATTAACATCAATAGATATTTACAGATATGACTAATGTTATTATGAATGTTAGAGATAATTAATCAATATAATCAATACAAAAAAAATTATTAGAAACTAATTCAGGATAATCAAATTAAGAAAAGGGAACAGAATAAAGACTTAGACAAGAATTATAAGAATTGTAATAATATACAAGAGAAATTGAATAAGAAAATAAAACTTATTTAGAATTATTAATTAAATATGGAAAAGGTGAAAAGATTCAATTAAATTAAATTCTAAATAATTAATAAAAGACTGAAAATTAAAATATAGATAATTCATCATAATTTATATAATAAAACAATTATGACAAAACAATTGCTTTAAATTTGATAAGACCATAATAAAACTAATATGCATCTATTCAAAATAAGAATAATTAATTATAATCAAATGTTTTGGTATAAGCACCTTAATTGGTTAAAATGTTAACTTTAAAATAATTTAAAGATTTAATCTTAGAAATATATGAAAGTAAATTGAAATTTGATTAAAAATGTTCTGATTCTCATTTACCAAGAGAAACAATGGAATAACATATGTATACATTTTTAAATTAGAAATATGGTTTAAAAAGTTTAATATTGGAATGGGCTTCCTGTATTATAAATGCATTAAAAAGATATGGAAATGATGATAATGATGTTGCAGTATTTGGTAAAATTTTAAGGAATGAATGTGATGAAGAATTTAGATTTGTTTAAGGTTAAGTGAAGAATACTATATTGGAATTATTGAAAGTAATATTTTAAATATAACAATTATATTAGATGTATTTGAGAGGAAAATTTCCATTAAAAACAAATGCTGATATAAAAGAAATGATGAATTAAAGAGTTAATAGTTTTATATTCTAAGAAGAAGCTGAAGATATAATAAAATATATGTATAATCAAGAAGATTCAGAACTAATTCTTAACAAATTAAAATAATATTTTATATAGCCTACTAAACATGTGGAGAAAAGAATGACGAGAGAAGAGTAATTGTAAATAGTAAATGAGAAGGATAAATCGAAGATTGAATTTTCAATATTTTAGAAGGTTATTTTAGATTTTTAAATGAAATCACATGAAAAATATTTATCAAAATTTATTTAACAATTTAAACTTTAAGATTAAGATTAAAATGGAATTATAGATGAAGTAATAATAATATATATAAATAGAATGAATTTCGATAATTGATTACAGATTTGAATATTGGAACTAATGATTTTGATATTTAGAGATATTTGAATAAAATAGATCCATACAATAATCAATAAATAACATTTTCATAATGTGTTCAATTATTTTCCCAGGAATAGGCACCAGGAACAAATATACCAATAATCTAGAAAATTTCAGTTGAAAGTATTTGAGTAATTTTTTAATATAATAAATTCATAACATTTAGTAATGGTTCTTTTTTATTATTAGAAATATATATAATATCAATAATTATAGTTATATATATTTAATAATAATATAATATATATGAATCAAAGATTAGCATATTAATTTTTGCGCTTGTTATTGTTATTTTTTAAATTTAAATGACACAAGACATTTCAAAAGAAGTACTAGCTCTATCCATCCATGTTGCTGCAGCTGCTTCCTAAATCACTATCTAAACTCAATAAAGGATGACTTTAGTTGCAAATAGTGTTTTAGAGAGCGTAGACTAAACATTGAAGATTGTAAATTCAATTATGATGTAATCATAAAAATAATCTCATTTGGATGCAGTTATAGAAGAATTTGAAGATGATTGTGGTAGAGATTCAAAAACAAAAGAATGTTATATAGATTAATAACTTAATGTTATTAACAATTAACAATCAGATTAAATTAAAATTGAAAATATGATGTGTTAAGAAAATTTTAATCCAAACATGTCAGTCAAATCAACTAATTCTAGTTGTCATAGTATTTAAAAATTAAAAACAAAAAGTTAAATGATAGAAGAGAAACAATAAAATTAAAATCCTACTAATAATACTCCAATCTAATAATAGAAATAATCATTACTTTCTTATTAATTATCTTAAATTAAAGTTGATAAAGTAAAAGAAGCATAAGAATAAAAGGAATTAATGATATTAATTGATTAAGTTGATCCAGAAGAATTAATAACTAAATTGAAATCTATGGAGATTATTTGTACATATCCATAAGAAAATTCAAATTAATTAGAATCAATTATAAATATAAGTGAACCACAAATTATAATAAATGCTTAATAATGTTAAAAATAAAAAAAAACATCTCCAAAAAAATCAGAATGGTATGACAGTTCATCTGTTGAATATAAAGCTACATCATATAATACAAATGAATCTTCTAATTTAGATCATCATTCTTATAAATGGAAAAGTAGTAGTATTGAAGATGAAAATTTATTGCAAGATTGTGAATTTTAATTTTAATCTTCAGTATTTGATTTTCCATTTCCAGAAGATTTTTGTACTAATAGTATAAATGTGTAATAGAATTTTCAACAATTAGAAAATAAAAACTAATTTACTCCTAAAAAGAAAAGATTATACTGTAATAATAAAAAGGTGCCTCATTGGGCTGAAAATTTATAGGTATTTTAATTTTGAATATTTTTTAGAAAGTTTAGCAATATTAATCTTAATAATATCTTTTACCTCATCACTAAATCTTTGGTAAGATGAAAAACAGAGTTTTAGAAATAGCAAAATAGTTTTCAGAAAGCAGATATTAAAGAAGGGGAAGTTCAGCTTAATGGCATATTCCTAATAAAACTTTTGAAATGATGCAATAATAGATGAAAAAACTATAATAAATATAAGATGAAAATATGTAAAAAATATAGCAACATCAAATAGATGTAATAATATGTTTAATTATAATAGTCTGCTAAAAAAAATTAAGGTTTATTTGCAAAAACATAATATTTTTTAACAAGTATTAAAAAAAAGATCCTTAATTCATTTGAGAAAGATTCAAAATATAAAAAATGAATTAATTGTAAATTTATTATTTTTTGAATCATATCCAATTATGATACTTTTCTATTTTTTCATAAAATATTATTGTATATTAAAATTTATAATATAAATAATAAAATTTATATATGTTCAATTTTAAACCAAAGTTAGAGAAATATTATTAATTTTAGATATTATAATTCTCAGGAATAGAAAAAATTTGAACAATTATTTGAAGCCTATTTTGATCCGGTTAACTAAAATAAAACATCAAGTTATTTATCAATATTAAAGAAGTATTACTTACTCAATATAATTTAAGAAATAAATAAATTAGATTTTTTACAAGGGCTTTTGTTTTTACTTTTCCAATAGTTTTTGGATTGTATTTGTTACCAGGTAATTAATTTAAGATACAAATTCAAATCAAAAAGCTTGTTAGAAAATCAATTGTTGAATTTTACAAATTCATTTATGATTATTCTGATTTAACATAGTAAGTATTATATTATAAATGATTTAAGTAAATCAACATGTTCATAGTAATATATATTGGCTTTAAATTCATAATATATGTATTTTGAAGAATAAGAAATAAAAAATGAAGGATTATTTGAGAATATAATTAAATAATACATTTTTATATTGAATGGTATACAATATGATTAATGTAATAAGATAATGAAGATTAATTGGAATTTGTATTGTTACATTTGGATGAACTTTTATTAAAAGTAATGGAAAGAAATAGATATCATTATTTTATCGAGAATTCAACTATTTTAATAGATTTATTAGATATCATAGCTAGAAAATTACCAGATTTAGATGATTCATAATTAACATATAAATTTTAATTTGAAGTGTAAAAATTATAATCAATTACAACATTACTTTGTGCCTTGTTTTAATATAGTTTAAAGTAGAATGAAAGAATTGAAATATATTAATATAGCATGGGTATTTTTAAAAAGAATTGTGTTATGGCAAAACTTTTGAAATAACAATTCAATTTGTTATTGCCAATAATCTATAAAGACTTAGCATGTTAGGAAGATTAGATAAATTTAAACACACTCAAATTTTTAATTGAATTTTAAAATAGTTTAAGTATATATTTATCTAATATTAAGAATGCAGTGATTTATTTGATTAATTATTGAAGGATTAACTATTTTCAAATTTGATTAATGTTTTAGATAGAAAATCACCATAATTTAAATAGGAATTTTGTAATTTTTTAGGAATGATGAAGGAGAATAAAGAAATTTGTTATTTGATGAAAGAGACTAAGATTTATGAGGAAGAAAAGTTAAGATTGTAGAATTTAAAAGTAAATAAAGAGTTATAGATGATTATAAAATAATTGATATTATGATTAATATGTCTGAAATGGTTTAAACATTTTCAATTCATTCTAAAAAGCATCGTAGGTTCACATATTGTTATTAACTTAGTACCTAGAAATAGCAGAAGGGACTATTGATGAAAGGAGTCACTATTCGTAATAATATGAATCTTAAGTTATGGTTAAATGAAGTGATGAATCGGAAAGAGATTGATTTGAAATTAGGAAAATTGAACATAGATTGTTAAAGAAATGATAAATAGTTGAAATATTATAATAATGATGTCATATTGCCTAGTATATTTAGAGATGTAGAGGATAGTCAAATATTTCCAATGATTTGTTTTCAAAAAAGTACAGATTTATAATTTTAATAGGAACCTGCAGATAATTGATGAGAGAAAGTAAAATATAGATAATACTTTAGTCAGATTTGAAGATAATGTGACGTCATTGTTACCTAGTGATAAAAGAAATTCTATATTATATGGATTATTAAGAGAATTAATGCATGAAATAGAGTTTAGAGAATAAAATATATTGATATGTCAACATAAGATTACTAAAGTGTTTTATATTTACTTTACAGATTGTTTGATTTGTCCAATATCTAAATGTTGTTATACATCTGTAGTTTTTGTATTGGGATAAATATTTGGTGGTTAAATAAGATGCAATAATGAAAATTGTCCAATTAAGATTCTAGTAACATTTGATATACAAGAAGAGTTGTTATGGAAAAAAAACTATGTTGATTTAAGCAATAGGTTTTCAAAATATATAATAAGTGGTAAATTTAGAACTAACAGTTTAAAAACATCATTATAACCTACAGATATTTCAAAGTCCAATCATCATTATAATCTTAATATTAATAGTCATATCAGTCAAACTGAAAGAATTTAAAGTAAACTAAACCTATCTCAATTAAGTAATTACTAAAAATAAAGAGAAAAGTCTAATAAAAATAAGAATGGCTTTTAAAGTGATTAATATTAAAATATGTTTTAAAAATGAAAATATTATTGTTTCATCTAGCATATACAGATAGATTAGTTAATGCTCTATATTAGGATTCTCTTAAACTTAAATTTTGAAATCTCTCCCATAAACGTGTTTACTTTTCTCCAAAAGAATCTTCTTCAAAAAAATAAGCATAAGCTGCAATGAGTTGCATAAATGAATAAATGATAACAAAGGCATACTTATTTCAATTATATGATTAAGTAATACTTTTGCAAATTATGAAATCTTGTGTCCAAAGCTCTTACGATCATATATAATGCCCAAAATTTTCTTTATTCATATTTCAAAAACGACAATGAAATCATTCCACCCAATAATCCACAATAAAAAGCATATTTTGGAGAATCCTATTCGTATTGATTTCTAAGTAAACAATGCAAACCTAATTGTAAATCTATAAGTAAACCTTTTGTAAACAGAGTATACGAGGATAAGAACAAACAAAACTTAATATTATCTTTAGAAATTAGTATTTTGAGTATCTATTTTAACTTATTCTTTTTGAATTTAACTAAGATTTAAAGCAATGACAATGCAGTTCTCAAAATATAAGCATATTTAAATGTTTATAAACTTTGAATGGAGACATGTTCAAAACATGAACAACTACTATAACATTTTTTAATACCCATGTTAACAATGTTATGATTTGGCTAACAATGTTTATATGAATCGATCAATTCTTAAATTCATTATATAAAATTATAATGTTTTACAATATATTAAAAAGAATAAAAGTGAATATTTTACAAATTTAAAAGTGTATTACACATAATTTTAATGATGGAAACATATTCATCATAAATAAAATCATTAATCTAGAAGGACAAAGAAGTTTAAAAATAAAATCTATTAATTTTTATTAATTGATAATGGATAACCATATCTTTAAACATAATATTTTTTCATTATTTTCAAAAAGTTACAACTTAAAAAAATAAATATATTTTTTAATTTGAAGTTTTCAGAGAAATATTGAATAAAAATAATTACTAAAACTGAAATAAAACTTCATTCAGGAAAAATAAGAAAGCCTTGCTATGATTGAATTATATTATCAATTATACTTTGAACCTTCTTGATCATTATAATTAATATTAAACATCATTTAGTTTAGATCTTAAAAATATTATCAATAAAACTTATAAAAATATTGATAAATTTATGATATTTTAAATAGGAATAATCTATGATTATACTAAAACAAGTTTAGATTTGAATTACTTTAATTTTAATATATTAAATTTAATTTTTCAGTATCAAAAATTCTAATTTAATCTATCAAGCATTTCCTCTAAATCTTAGTTTAATCTATTAGCCAATTATTCAAGTGCATTAATAAATTGAAAGAAATCCATTTAATTATTATTACATGATTTTAATATGATTTTCCTAAATAATAAATCATAATCATGTTTTAGAAATGTTTAAGATGTCATTTATGGAAAATTAGACAATTTCTAAAATTTAGAAGATGTCAAATATTCTTGAAATTTATATCCAGACAAAAAACCATAAAGTTACATCATCTTAGAGAATATGGTTTCAGTTGCATCCACATCTAATTTTCTATAACTCTAAAATCCAGGTAATTCTTCTTAATCTTCTTTAGGTATCATAGCTAATTTTATTGCATCCCCCATAACTAATTCTTTAACATAACTATCAATGTAGGATTCTTCAAATACAGATTTACCATTTGTTGCATAAACTTCATGCTCAATTTATAAACTTGGATTAGAATTAACTTCTAATAACCATGGCTTACCTTTTTCATCAAGTAAAATATCAAATCCTAATACTTAAAAGCATTTGACTTCTGCTACTCTTTTTTAAAATACTAATTTTTAATTGAATGCAAGAAATGGAAGAAGACTCTTTAAATATGCAACAATCAAACTATCAATTTAATTTTCAACATCTTAATTGTTATATCCCAAGATTTCTAAGTTTTTTTAGATTGATGAATAAGTTCTTTTGGTTCCCTCATTTATATCTAAAATATTCTTACCATTATAAAATTAGAAATTAGTACTTTTTTTGTTAAGTGAATAGTTTGTTAAATGCATAAAAGGATTTCTGAGATTTTTATCATTAGGTTATTCATAATCTACAGTACAAAATCTAGCTAAACCTTCTTTATTAATATAACATAAGTAGGGATCAAGAGATGTAATAAGAACATACAATCTTAAATCAAATTTCTTTTTATCTATCAATAAAGGTTTGGAGATATATTATTATATTACCATACTTTCATTAGTTTTGATATCTTTTAATTTTTTTATTAAATAGATTCCATCACCTTATGATCCTGCATCTGGTTTAGCAATGTAAGTACGAGTGCTTTTATATTCTTATTAAAATTTATCAATTTCATCAGGTATAATGTATGTTTTAGGAAAGAATTCATATTCATCTGGAAAATATTAAGCAAATTTATTCAAATAAAATGATGATTAAGTTTTATGAGCTAATAAATCCATTCCTGGAAAACGATTAACGTATTATGTAAAATATTCTTCAAAATTTTAATATTTAAATGGTAATCCAAGCCAACAAACATCACCATCATTAAAAACTTCTTTCCAATTATTTTTTACTATTAATTTACGTATTAATCTTGTTTCACCTCTACAATTAGTTGTATTTACTTTAATAGATTTCTACTTTTTGTATAAATTCTGTTGTTATTGAAAATCCTCATAACTAGTTTTGAATTCATCAACTTATTATTCAGTAACAGTTTTGATATCATCATTATTTTCATTCCATGGTGAGATATCATGAGTTTATTATTATTATTATTACATTATGATCAAATTAATTTAATTAATGAAATTAGTTAATAGTAGAAAATTGATTATATAGGAGTAGGAATAAGAATCTGATAAATAACGATAGATAGGAGATTATCTTTTAGGTTGGTGTTTAGGTTTACAGTAGTTAAAACTCTTGGATTGGGTACATTTGGTTTAGTCAAATTGGCAATTCATTAAATAACTTAAGAGAAGGTGGCAATAAAAATTTTGGAGAAATCAAAGATAATAGATGTAGCTGATGTTGAAAGAGTAACTAGAGAAATACATATTTTGAAATTGATTAGACATATACATGTAATTCAATTATATGAAGTATTAAATCAATATATATAATTAAAGATAATTGAAACAAAGAAATATATATTTTTGGTTATGGAATTTTGTGATGGAGGTGAATTATTTGATTATATAGTAAAGCATTAAAAGTAATATTTTAATATATAATAAAGGCTATCTGAAATTGAAGCATGTAAATTTATTTAAGAGTTAATATCTGGAATTGAATATATACATAAATTAAATATAGTCCATAGAGATTTGAAACCAGAAAATTTGTTATTAGACTATTAAAAGAGTTTAAAAATTGTAGATTTTGGCTTAAGTAATACATATAAATAAGGAGAATAATTAAAGACAGCATGTGGTAGTCCATGTTATGCAGCACCTGAAATGATACAAGGGAATAAATATAATTCTTTATTAGTTGATATATGGTCATGTGGAGTAATTTTATTTGCATCAATTTGCGGTTATTTACCATTTGAGGATGTGAATACTTCAGCTTTATACAAAAAAATATTACATGGAGAATATTAAATTCCTAATTTTGTGTCACCAGAAGGCACACATTTTTTGAAGGGAATTTTGAATATTAATCCTGAAAGAAGATTTAATTTAGAGTAAATAAAATCACATCCATGGTTTAAATTATTTAGGAGATCACATTCTATTCCTTAAGGAATTATTATTGGATATCATAGAATACCAATTGATAATAATATTGTACAATAATTGAAAGAATTAGGATTTAATGAAGATTATGCAAAAATATGTTTAGATGCAAATAAATAAAATAATGTGACAACTTCATATTTTTTATTGATGAAAAGACATTTAATGAATGGAGGAATATCAACAGCTGATATTAATTCTGTTTATTTTGATTAAAAATTATTGGATCCAATTCAAAGAGTTTAAAAGGGTAAACAATTAAATATATTATTATATAGCTTAAATTCCATAATTTATAGATGAATCTATGCTCTAATCTTTGAATACTACTTAAAGATCTTAATCTAATCAAAATCGTAAAAATAAGAAAATGTATACATAATAAAATAGAGGACATTATTATTTATAAGATGAAAAATTCAATAAATTAATTTAATTAAAATAATCATACCGTCAAGATAGTTTGGACTCAGATTAAGAATATAATAAATCATTATCCTAGAATGTGACATCAAATGTAAAAAAATAAAAAGTTAGAACTGAATCAAATTATAATACAGATTCGTTTTTAAATTAGACTACAATGTTTGCTACTAAAAGGTAATCGATTTCCCCTGCTAATGCCAATCTTATATTGTAATACATTAGTAATTATTAACTCTATATCAGAACAATAAAAAAAATTAACTCCCACTTCCAATAGAAATTCAAATCAACAAAAAAAAAATATATTCTCTTTGAATTACTAAAGAAACGTTTAGACAATTTACGATCATGAGGCCTTAAAGATTATTAATTCAAATAAATAATAAATTTAAGATTAAAAGAGAAGTTTAAATTATTAATGGATGCCATAAACATAAACAAATTCTTATTAATTATAATTACAATTAAATTCTAGAAAAGGATCTAGAGATTTAAGTGCACCTCATTCTACTAAAAGTTCAAACAATCCAAAAAGTAAGTCAATTAATTTGTAATTTTGATTATAATTATTATTAATTTTATTAAAATGAATTTTTTTATGAATTTCTTTGGATAAGGCACTTCTGGGCCATAACCAGAAAGTTATGAAATTAATGGTTAGGAATATCATGAATTGAATTTAATTGCTGAAGGAGGTTATGGTTTTATTTGGAGAGCAATAGAAACAAAAACAAGAAAATTTTGCGTTATTAAGAAAATTATTTGTCAAAGTAAAGAAGCAATTGAATAAGCTTAATAGGAATTGGATTTGCATGTAAATTATATTTATTCATATTTAAAATAGAGAAGACTTCAACATCCTAACATTGTAAAATGTTATAATGGAGTAATCAAATTTAATAAGAAATTAAATTAGACTATAGCATATATGGTTTTAGAATTATGTGAAGGTGGAACATTAATTGATTTACTAAAAAGATACAATGAAAAAAGATTAAGTGAATAATAAGTTCTCTTAGTGTTAAAAGTTAATTTTCACTTTATCATAGTAATTAGTTTAAGCAATCAAATATCTTCACACCTAAAAGCCTTCAATTACTCATAGAGATTTGAAAGTTGAAAATGTCTTATTACATAACAAAATATTCAAAATTTGCGATTTCGGTTCTGCTAGTACTGAAAAAATTGATTTAAAGTATTATTATTATCCAAAATTAGTTAATCAAATAAACATCAGATTTCTTAATATGAAGAGAATTTTGCAAAATAGACAACAGAAATATATAGGCCTCCTGAAATGACAGATTTATATTTAAAGTATGAAATCAATGAAAAAGTTGACATCTGGATGTTAGGATGCATTTTATATACAATGTGCTTTTATAATCCACCCTTTTAGGAATCATCAAAATTGGCTATTGTGGAAGCTTCGTATATTATTCCAAAAGACAATAAAGTATTCATCAAAAATTGAATGTATTAGTATTCTAATAAGATGATTAATTTGATTGGTATAATGCTTTAACAAAACCCAAAGGATAGAGCATCAATTTTTGAAATCGAAGAAATATTGAATAATTATGAAACATTAACATAAATAGTAAAGAATAACATCAATCATTAGCAATGTAAAAATGGATAAGATGATGATTTTGGTGAATTTTAATAAGGAGATTAAAAAGCTTAAGAATAATAATAAAAGACTGTTTAATATGATGATTCATTAATTTGATATTTTGTACATTTAATGTGTATTTCTAATAATAAATTATTTGAATTTCAATTTATTTTATAAAAATGAATTCTTTAATTACTATTCTTAAGGATATACAAATAAATGTACCTTAATCATAATTATAACATTCTTTTGTTTTATGTGGAAAAAGTCAAGTTGGAAAATCAACTATTGTACATTAATTATTTTAATATATATAGGTCTCCAAATTAACATCTCAATAAATAAAAGATTATGCAGGATTAATATTCACATAGTAAAAGACAAATATAATTGGTTACTAAGCGGTAATTTAATATTTTGAGATTTCTTGATAAGCATTTAAATAGTAATTGACTTTATGATTGAATAAACAATCATATTAATTGTACAGTTAAATTTTAGTAATTGATTTATCTGATAATCCTCATAAAATTTTAAATTTATGTAATTCAGAAATAAGATAAATTAAAAAAGAAACAGAAAAGAAGTTATAATAATCAATAGATGTTGATACTGTTAAACAATTAAAATTAAATATTTATGAAAAAACTTGTAGCATCATGATAAAAATAGAATAATACCTTCATTTGTACCTATTATAATTTTAGGATGGAAATATGATTTATTCTCTAAAAATCTAGATTAAGAATCCAGAAAAGGGATAACAAGAGGTTTAAGATATTTAGTACATACTAATAATTGTTCACTTGTATTTGGAAACAATTAAGATTATTAATTAGTTAGATAGACTTTGTACAATTATTTTATTTATAATTAAGTTATTATTATTATTATAAAATTGAATAATAATCAAATGAGTAGAATATCATTTAAAACCTACTATTTCAATTTATTAATATAATCATTAAAAATAATTATGTATTACTCAGCTTTCTAATTTAATTGAAAATATTAATTTACCTCCATCTGGCAATAATCCTCTGGATAGATTCAATAAAATAATCAAAGATCAAATTGTTGCTGCAGTTTATAAGCAAAATAAAAAAAAAAATTATCTAAAATAACAGAAGAAAATGGAATAATTATAAAGAAGATAAAATTGATAGACTTCTTAAGTAATTTGAATTTTAATAAAAATAACACACAAGAAAAAAAGAATAAGTATTAATTTGATATAATATTTATATATATTTTTATTTACAAAATGATTTTAGAATTAATTTTCTTGATTACAGGTGTACAATCTATTACATTAAAATTCAAAGTACCACCTGGATAATAATAATGTATCAAAGATTCTGTGTCTTAAAATACACTTATTTATGGTAATTATGATACAACATCATCACTTTATACTTTTACATTAAGTGTAATTGAATAAATATATATTATAGATTATTAATTAATAGGATTAAGAATCAATTATTATTGAATACTCCTATGATATCAATCAATAATTTCATTATGTTATGGAGGAATCAGGAGAGATTTCTATATGTTTTGAAGTAGATGATTATTCTGATATTACAACTTTTAATCTATTTTATGAAAGTGGTACTTAAACTATAATAATATTAGGGGCTGAAATATATGATTAAGATTTATTAGCAAAAAAATAGCATGTTCTTAATTTAAATGAAACTTTAGAGACAATGGAATAATTATAATAAGATATATCAAGAGAACAATTATTAATTGTTGATAGAGAAAATAAAAGAAAATATAGTTTTACAGATATTTAAACTAAAATTATTGGTTTTGCTGGTATAACATTTGGATTATTAATTATTGTGGCTACTTGTTAAGTTATTTATGTTAGAAGATTTGTAGTATATAAGAAATTAGCATGATTTACTTGAGTATAAATTTGTTAATCCAATTATAATGTATACTAAATTTGAGTAGAATTTGTATTTTAAAAATATGATGTTATATAGAATAGATAAATCAAGATGAAACTGTTAGATTATTTTAATAATATGATGGATTGACTCTAATATTTTTAATAAGAGATGAAGAGATTTCTTATGTTTTTTAAGTTGTCTCACTATTTTCATTTATTTTTAAAGTCTACTATTGAGATTTTGCTCTTGATTTATATGATCTCTCATAAAATTTATCTACTCTATATATATATATACCAAATTATTTAAAATCTTTTTTTCCTGTTGAGGTCTCTAATATATCATCAGTTGTTCTATTTAAAAGAGTTAAATTATTTTTTGGTTTACTTGTTTTGCAAATATTAATTGTTTAATTTTTCTAACTGTATGTTATTATACTATTATGATCATTATCTTATATTTCAGTATGATAACGATGATGTAATTTTAATTGAGGAACCCTAAATTTTGTATCTTTATTGATTAATGAGTGAAATTTTACTGAATCATTTTCGATTTGTTTTTATTATTAATTTAAAACCTATAATTTTTATTTATAGAATGATATTAGTTCTTGTAATTAAGAATTTTTTGTTGCTTATTTTAATAATATCATTTTCTAATTATTAACTTCCTTTAAATTTATTTATGTATTTAAATACCTATTCAATTTCTTTGATTTTAACTTTTAGTTATTAATTTTCACATTTCAATTCTATACATAATTTGTTTAATACTTAGCATTCATTCCTAAAAAATACTAATTTATTTTAAGCGTTTACTACCTATTCTTTATAATAAAAATTATATACTTCAGTCTCATTTTCATGATATGCTATGTATTCTTCAAATTTCTATTGTAGATTTCGAAAATCTGATGAGATCTATTCAACAACTATTTTAAATGCCTTAAAAAAGCTAGTCTGCTAATTTTATAATAGCGTTGAGATTCTAGAATTAGTGTTAATCATCAAGCCTTCTATGTCTTTGCATATCTCCTTTAATTTCTTAGCTGCATTCTAATCGAGTGATTCTAGAATTGGTATTTAAGCCTCAGTAATTAAATAAGATGCCATATTATTTTTATTCAATATAATAAATAAATGAATAGAGAAGTCAAATTTGTTTTTCTGATAACTAAACAAAGAATTTTGATCTGGTATGCAATCCAACATTGAATCCTTTTTTTGTGAATGTTTTTAGAACTTATTAAAATCTTTAAATGTCTAATCTCTCAGTATTATTGAGATATTCTATTATAGAATCTATAAGCATACTTCTAGCTATTGTTGGCTTCATATTAAATTGTTAATAAGATTCTTATAAGAATTTCTCAAATCTATTTTAGTCTTTTAATTCATCATGTAAATATTAGCATCTTATTCCATAAGGACAAAATCCTTAATTAAAATATCGATTGCATGGTTTTGTTTTGTATTTTTAATGTAGATGAGTTTTAGCTTATAACTCTAATTAACCATGAGCGAATGAACACTATGAAATAACCTTTTAAAATACTTCATCTCCAAATTTGCATTATCCAGTCAACTAAAAGTTCTTACACAACTCTGTCTTCTTCTTCTTTGTATATTCTTCAATATATTGTCTTTTTTCTTCGATTGTCTCAAAATACTTTCTTTTTGGTTAAACGCTAAAAATCTTAATATTTCATACTCTATTTGAAACTGTTCATCATCATCATCAGTACTTGCATTCTAATAATCATTAATCAAGTTAATATAGATTTCGATTGGAGTTGAGTTACTCATTATTTATAATATTAAATTTGATTTATTTCTATATTCCATTATCAAAAGTGATTTATTAATTATCTGATAATATGGACTAAATTTAATTAATCCTAATCAGAATCTTAATCTATAATCAATTATAGAAATTCATTGTTTTATAGTCCTATAAGTATACAAATTTTGAATACTTTTCTAGTCTGAATTTAAATGTCAAGAATAAATGTATTTACTACAAATTATTTATTAGTTCAAATATATAAAAACTGTAGGTATTTCTGAAAATTTTTACAGTGACTTTGATAAATATAGATGTAAAGTATGAATTTTTACTATCGTTATTTTAAAGAATAAAAATCAATATGTTTAAAAATGCTATTCTCTTGAAATTTTTTAACACTAAATATTTATTAAGTATTATACATTACATCATATACTTCTCATATACTCAATTTTGCAGTTATTCAATCATTCTCGATCAGAAATTGATAAACTCCAAGTTTTGCTTAAAAATATATTTTGAATTATTTAATATCTATTTTTATGACTATATTAGTTAAGATTCTAAACATATTTGTTTTTCCCAGAACTCTTTTTATTTTAAGATTTAAATAATTATGATTGTTTCTAATCTCAAAATATTAAAAAACCAATAATGGTTCATATATATGATATCCTACACAATACATATTTATGGTTTAATAGTATTCTATTTGCATTTTTAATCATTTTCTTATTTAGAAATACAGGATTTTAATGTAAGTTAATTGTGATTTCTAAAATTGAATCGAATTTTAATAATATAATTTAGATTTCATTTATTTATTTAGATTGATACATTAAGATATTATTACGTACCTCAGTTCAAAATTATAAACTTAATTATTTCAAGAACTTTTAGAATAAATGGACTAAAAATTCCATTATGAAGTTGAAGCTTTAATTTACAATAATAAAATAATTATATTGTTAACAGAATTAGTATTTGATTATTTATAATTCAGTTTAGAGTGATGAACATAATGCTTTTATGATTATTTAAATTCAATAAACAAAATATTCTTGATAATTTTACATTTAAATTTTGACTTTAATTTTGTACTTATTAAAATAGTATCTTAATAGTAGATACTTAGAAATCATCATATTCATTTATGGTGCTATGTTGCTATAAACAAATAATATTGTTATATATTATAATAAAAATTTGATGAATAACGAAAGCACTGTTGATTGAATTTAATCTTAAAAATGCATTTCCTTTTTATTCAAAATTGAATTATGTCTATCTTGAATAACTGTTTAAGGAAAATTTTATATTGTTCTGATTTAAAGTTTTGTTGTGCATTATTGGACTTATTATTATAGAATATGTAATTAAATAATTCTATTTGATTGAAGATTAAAGGCATTTAAATATAATAGTTTTATAATTGAAATTTAAGACAATTCTGCATCATAATATTTGAAAGTTAAAATTAATTCAGAAGTACTTGGTATATTTTCCTAAGATATATTCATTTAGATTTTATAACTTTTCACATTTTTAGACATAATTTGTATTTTGCATTTATGAGGTAAGATAAGATTATGATACAAATAAAATATATTTATGCTTATAATAAAATTTCAGATAAAAGTAATAATATGCAACAATATATTATTATGTATCAAATTTATATACAAATTAAAAATATTATAATACATATCATATTTCTCTAAATTACAAAAACTGCTTTAACTTAAAATTTTTAATCTTTTTATTTAAATTATATTCTATTAATCAACTTTATTCATCAATGATTGGATTATTTTTTTATTCCTCATGGACTGAAATATTTCTATATGTTGAATTATTGTTCAATTGATTTTCTGAATTGGATTCTCCAGATTACTATTAATTTGAATTTTCAGAAGACTATTTTTTAGAAGAGTATTCTGATTTTTTTGAAAAGCTTTATTCCAAAGATTCAGATTTATACATTTAAGAACTATGTTTGGATTTTGATTGAATACATTTATAAATTTTCTTTCTTTATTATTTCATTCTCTTAATTTATAAAAGACTATCCTTAACCGGTGCACCTATGAATTAAAATTTTAAATATAAAACTGAAATGTTTGTTAGTTGCTTCTATCTCCAATCCCATTAGATAAATATTAGCTCCCCTTTACAGTCTTGGTATATTTAATTATTCTTTTTTTCAAATAAAGAAATTACTCTAATTATTATTATCCTTAATTCTGTCCTGTTTATTGGAAAATTATGGTTTAACTCTATCCAGATTTTTTCCTATTACTTAAGGCACAGCCCATTTTTATTATTATTTTATTTTATTCTATTTATTAATAATCAAAATATAATTAATTTCCAAAATTTATTTTAATTACATTTTTCTTATTAATTATATTAATTAAATAAAATTAAAAAATGTCCAAAGGAGATGCTAAAACATTGAAAGAAGAGATTTAAAAACTATATGATCCATTGTTATTTTATTAACATGGAGACAATCCTGCTTATAAAAGATATATTGAGATAATGTAAGAAAATGCTCAAGAAGGTAAACAAATAGATCCAAGAACTTATTTTGTTAATAAATTGCAAAGGTATATATTAGATTATAATCATTAAGAATCCATGTAGCAAGAAATATTTAAGATTTTGTTGAAAGAGATTTGAAATGTTTTAACTTTGTTCGAATATTTCCTGTTTGGATATGTACAACAGGATTCTTTTTATAAGGTAAATAAAGTAATAAATATAAAAGCTGCATTAACACATAGATAAATGTTTTTGCCTATTGGATAGAGAGGTATAACAAATATTAAATAGACCTCATTCTTTTATAAGTATTAAATTAGTATTAAGTAATTACAGTTTTGGGTATGTTGGATTAGCTGGTTATGGATTATATTTACTTGGAGCATCTTATTTATGGTGGTAAGTTACTAAAATGACAGGCACTAAATTTTATAAGCATTGTTTATTAGGAGAAAGATAATGGTCATATGAGAGAGAAAGATAAAATAACACTTATGGAAATTACTACTTTAAAGATGTTCCTTTATCATGCGAAGAAAATTTCCCAGATTTAGCTAGAGGAGAAATTGCAAAAAAGCAAAGACCTAAGCCAGAATGGTGATATATTAATATTATACATTTACAAATCACAATATAGTATAATTATATTAGTATTACTATGTTATAAGAATTTGGAATTAATTTAAACACAATATATATATAGAATACATAAATTAAAAATTAAATATAATTCAATTTCCATTTTATGAAGCTCTTTAAATCAGCATTTGGAAAGAAAGAATAAGACAATAACTAAGAAAAATTAAAATAATCTAATGGTACATTTACAATTGATGAATAATTTATGACTCCAGAATTTTTATATAAACCTTCATAGGATGGAACAAAAAAATTATCAAAATAATTCTTTCTTTCTTTATCTACAATTGAAAATACTTTTAATTTGTAATAAGTAAAATCACATTCTTTAGTTGAAGAATTAGTTGCTATGTATCAAGAATGTGTTTAAGTTTATGATGGATTAATGGATCCTATCAAATATTATTTTGTTGATAAAATAAAGAATATATTGAATTAGACAGATAAATTTTAAGGAAGAAATCATTCAGCATCTTAACATGTTTAATCTATATCTACAAATAATTTACCAAGAACAAATTTAAATGATTAAAAACCATTCTTTAGGGAATTTGAAGATTTTGCAGATAGAGGTGAAAAATTAACAGAATTTGTTACACCTAGAGATGAAGAAACATTATATAAGAATAATTTAAATAAACATGATGAAATCAAAAAAAAAATAGATATGTAATAATAGATTATATAATAATAATAATAAGAATTATAAGCATTAAAGAGAGAGAATAATAATTCAAATAATTATTACTCTAAGTCTCTTAATTAAACACCAGTTGTAGCATAATAGACAAATATTAAATAATCAGATAATAAATAACAAATTTAATCATAATTAGAAAATTAAGAATTATCAATTTAAGCAAGATTATAGTTACGTTAAAAAAATTAAAAAGTTAAAAAAGAAGGATGATCTTATTTTTATAATATATGTATATTAAAGAAAATAATATATTATTTAATAATTATATCAAATTATGAATTTATTCGAAATTTATCCTGAAATGGATCATGAAAAAACATTTGATGATCTCTTTTATAAGAGAATTTCATTTTAGAATAATGAAAACAATTATAAATTATTTGGATTTGATAAATGTTTTAAAAAAAGTAAACAATAAACAATTTATAAGGATGGAAAAGTTTGTTTAAGAATTTTGCTTTACCATTTTAATAAATAAATTATTTTGACACGAAAGAATTAAATTAAAGTTGTCATTGTAATGAATGTGGTGGAAAAGTTAAAAAGAAAATTTTAATTAATAAAAGAGAATTAAAAGACAATTAATTCTCTGCTATCAAATAAAGATATCCAGCATCACCTCAGTTATCTATTTAACCTTAAACAGTTCGACCTTCAAACAAGGATCTGAGTTTAATTGGTTCATCAGCACATTTTAGTATTATATTAATTAATTTTTATGTGATAAACATTAGAAATAAATTATTTAGAGAAGTGCTAGAGAATCTTTAATTCCAGTTATTTAATTAATTTAGGCTTAAAATTTAATGAAAAAAATAAGTAGAACTCATAAAATAGAATAAGATCTGAAATCTAAAATTAATATATAAACTGAAAGCTTATTTAATAAAGTATAAAAGAAAATTGATGATAAAGAATAAGGTAAATTTGTTGAAATCTAAATTTAAAAACCTAAAGATATAGATATTATTAAATAAAGAGATTTATTAAAGAAAAAATCTATAAAATAATCTCCAAATTCTATTCAATATAGAATCAAAACAGATGTCTCTAGTTACTATTTTGCTAATCAATAAAAAAAATAAATTTTTAATTTACCAAATCTAAGCAATCTTGAAAACTTAAAAAAAAATAGTCTTAGCAATTTTGAATCTAAAACACCAAGAATGTTAATCAGAAGTGACAAATTCAATCTTAAATAACCATTAACATAAAGACTATTAGCTACTTACTTAAAAAAAAGCAATAGCAAAAGCAAATAATTTAATAACAAAAAATAATGATTAATATTTTGATAATATATTTATGAATATATAAATTAAATATAGATAATTAAAAATATGTTATAGCAGTGCCTCAAAATATTTAGGTTTAGCTTTGCTGCAAATACACCATCATTAGCTACACCTTGGTCAATGAGACCTTTTAAGAATGAGGTATCTCTACCTATAATCAGATTTCATGATGCATAGCCAACAGGATAATCAATAACATTAGATTAAGGTATTCAATTAATATTTATATTTAATAATAGAAATATTTAATTAACCTATTAGAAGAGATTTAGTCTAAAGGTTAGTCAGATATACTGATTTGTATAATAAAAAAGTCACTAAAGCTACTTTAGAATTAAGAGATGCTGCATCATCAGGGGCTAAAAATCATCCATAAAAAAAGACAGGAAGAGCACGTTAAGGACATAGATAAAGACCAGGAAGAAATAAAGGTATTAAAGCTCATGGAAGAAAAATAAGATCATTAAGAATTGATTTACCAAGAAAAGTTAGATTATAAGCATACAAAGTTGGTTTGACAGCTGCTCTTATAGAAGGTAAATTTACTGTTATAGATACTGAAAAATTAAATGAAGGTAAGACTAAACATTTGGTTTAATTAATGAAGGGATTTGAATCTTTTACATAACCAATATTAATAGTTACTAGTGTTGATCCAGATGATTTTTTTTTAAGAGCCTCTCGTAATTTAGATACTTTAGAGACATGTACAGTGAAAGAATTAAATATTATTAAAATTCTTAAATTTAAATCGATTCTTATTACAAAGGAAGCTATTATTTAATTAACTGAGTCATTAAAATAAAGAAAATTAACTCTTTTAGGAGAAAATAAGATTGTTAAGAAAGTATATTACATAATTTAACAAAATTTAGAAATATTCTGAATATCCTATTGAAGAATATGATCCTACTAAGCCATTAGATCTTAAATTTAAAGTGTTAAGAGAATATTTGGAGGATTTTGAAAAATTAAAATAAGAGGGATAATTAGATAAATTTATTTAAGATATGCCTAAGACAAAGAAGGTTGGTCGTATTAATACAATAAATCATCATTGAGAAAATTATTTGTTTTTAAATAAAGCATTAATATAATTATATTTATCATTCTCAAATATTCTCAAATGTATCTTTAATGTTAAGGATTTTATTATATTTCATATTCTCTTTATAGAGATTTCATTTTTTATTTTAAATTTTATGATGAAATAGCTGCTTAACTCAATGTTTTTTTGAAATTTTCAGACTCTTATTTTAATCTTTCCCATCCAGAAGATTAATCTAATTAACTATTATCCTTGATTCCACTCTATTAAGATTATTAAGAGACATAAGAAGATTCATTTTTATAATCTAAATTGATAGATTATTTTTTATTACTTTAACTATATTTTTAAGGTTAATAGGCTTTTTCTAATTCCTATAAAAGTTATTCATTTTAATCTTTTAATTGTTAAATTTCTTATAATGTATTCATTTGCATTTATCTTTCTTAAATGATAACTTGTTCCATCTCATTTACTCTCTTTTATTCCCAAGATAGTTAAGCATCTTTGAGGTCTACTTATTTTTGTAAGTCTCTATTAGCATTTTCAATATATTGTTTTTCTCTTTCTAATTAGGCAATTTATCTATTAAAGTCTTCTTGAGCTGCCTAAAATCCAGTAGAAATTTTTCTTTATGAATGATACTCTTTTCCCAATTACTAAGAATATTATTAAAATTCTTACATCTCTATCTTTAAGTAATTCTCTAATTTATCTTTCATATTCTTCAGATTTTCTATTTAATCTTTCTATTTCACGTTCATATTATTATAACTAAATTTAATATTAATCTTCTCTTTTTGAAGCATTTTACATTTAAACTTTAAAAAAGTCTTCTTATTTTTCTAATTCTACACCTCTTTGTAATACTTCCTCATGTTGTTATGATATCTATTAAATTGAAACAGTAAGTCTTTGATTTTCAGCACAAACTTCACTATAATTAAGTTATAAATCATGCATTTCCATATCAAACATTTTAATTTATTCTTTAAGTCTTATTTCTTATTACTATAAAAATTGGATTTATTATGATTATAATTCTTTTTCTTATACAGATTTAACAAGTTAATTATTTAAAGATTAATTATCTTTACTTAAAATTTATATATCAGATTTCATCTCATGAAATTCTTTCTCTTTGATTTATAAAGTATATTTTAGATTTTCATTTTCATTCTATAATTTTTGATTCTTATAAATTTAATCTCTTAATTTTTCTTCTAATTATTGAGCAGCTTCATAACCACGTTCTCCTTTAGTACTAACCTCTGATAATTTAGATTATTATTTCTAGATTTCATTATTCATTTGTTTAATCTATTATTATAAAGATATATTAGTTTCTCTAACTTCGTCTAATTAATTTTAGACTTCATCTCTTTCTCTATCTAATTACTCTAATGATCTTTTTAATTATATATTTTACTCAGATAATTGATTTACTTTATCTTCTAAATTTTCATTCAATTCTCTCAATTATAATACCTATCTTTCATCTTCTATTTTAGTACTATTCTTTTATTATAATCTTTATAATAATTCTTCTTTTTATTTTTCCAAACTTTCACATAATAATTTTAATTATCGAATTTAATTTTCATAATCAGTTTTTTATAATTTAATAGATGAAATTTAAGATTATGATTCTGTTAATTCATTATATAATTTATTAGATCTTTGTATCTCTTTCTATAATTATTCATTAATATCTTATAAAGACATTTCATAATTATTTACTTTTTCTGATAATTTTATAGAAGTATTTTTTATTTCATGATCATTTGTCTTCAATCCATTAATCATTTATCTTAATTCTCTAGCTTCTTTCATAGCTTCTTCTTTTAATTTATTTATAAATTCAATTTATTTTGTTTATTAATTAATTACTGATTCTAATTTTAAATTTTCACTTTAAAATCTTTCTTTTTCAATTAATATCTTTCTTTCTTAATCTCTTAATCTTTCAATTTCATTAGACAAATTATAATAATCCATTTCTTTATCCTTACTTCTTAATAAATTTTATTAATATTTAAATGTTTCATCACTTTATTATCTTAAATTCATTTATAATCTATCATTTTCTAATCTCTATTCATTAAGCAATTCTTAAGATATTTTAAGTTTTTCTTCTAATTAAGAATTAAATATTCCTAAATCTGAGATTTATAATTTTAAAGAATTATTCTATTATTATAATAATTTTAATTCTCCATTGGTATCATTTTCAATTTTTTATTTCTATTCTAAAATACTTTGTTAATTTAATCTCATCTTTGATTATTCTCTTTTATATTATTCAACTTCTTATTCTAATTATGCAATATCCTATAACTTTAATTTTATTTATGAATCCAAATTTGCATTCTTTTATGATAATTCATTAATTTAATCATTCAATATACGTTTTTGTTATTTCAATTCATAATTATCTCTATCTTTTTCTCCTAATTCTTTCCTGATTGATTTTATAAGATTTTCTGTTGTTTACACTTCCTTTGTTAATAAATCATTTTCCTTTCTTAATTGATCAATCATTAATTATTAACCTTAATTAGGATTATATTATAGTGATTATTATTAATTCTTTTATTCTTATTTAAATTTTTATAATAAACTATCCAAATTTTATTTAGATACATCCATTCTTTCAAATTCTATTTTTAATTCTCTTATTATTTATTTTTCTTAATCTAATTCTCTTTCTAAATCTCTTTTATCTTATCTTAATTATTATACAAATTCTTTCTCTCTTTCATATTCATCATTCAATTTTTTATAATTTCTATCATATAATTCCTTTTCTCTTTATAATTATTAATATTCAGACTTTTGTATTTGCAATTAATCATCCATTTCATTTAATTAATATTTTAATTTTTAATTATCTTCTTCCAAACATTTTAATGTTTATACAGTACTTTCTTTATCATTCTTCAAATTATTCACAGCTTTACTAAACACCATTTTATCTGTTTAATATGCTGAAACTACTTATTCTGCATTTTAAGCTTTTAATTATAATTATTCATTTAATTATTACAATTACTAAACTTTTTCAACTAATTATTAATTTTCTTATTCTAATTAATTTAATATTTTTTTAAATTATTCTTAATTTTTCTCCTTCTCTTCTTCAATACTAGATAATCTTTATTTGATTTAATTTAACTCATTTTTTTTATCAGATTTATTTGGACTTTATTATTATGGTTGACTTGGCTTTTTCTTAAAACGTTATAATTCTTTCCTTAAATTTGTTAATTCATCATTTAACTTTGTATTTTCCTCAGTTAATAAATCTAATTATGTTTAAGTCCTTTAAGCCTTTTATTATGTTTCTGATAGAATATGTTCTTAAGCTAATTTCTCTATATTTGTGCCTTAAATATCTAATTTTGACTTTAATCTCAAAATCTCCTTTTCTCTATTTTCAATTTAAAATTCTAGATGTTTGCATTTTTCTTCCAATAATACTTTTTAATTGTCATTTTCTCTTGAATCTTATTGTACTTATAATAATCTATAAATTGATAATCATAATAAATATACTTCTTTTCTAAATCTTATATTTAATCAACTAATTTTAATGTTTTATCTGGTTAATTACTTGATGATAAATTATTTTCATTATTTTTTTTAAATAATTCTTCTTGTAATTTCTTTTCAGCATTATTTTTTTAACTTAATATAAATTTCCAATCATTTCTTTCACTTTCTAACATTCTTACTTATGATCTCCATTTATTTTCTTTAGTATCGCATTCTTCCTTAATTTGAATAATTGTCATATGCAATTAATTATTTTCATTAACAATTCTTTAATTCTCCTTCTTTAAGGGTAATAATAATTGTTCAAACTTAGCTGCATTAATTTTAGTCTATTATGATATAATATCAATGTACTTCTTCCAATTGTTTTTTTAATTATTAGAAGCCTTCAGTTGTTTTAACTAGATCATTAAGCAATCTTTCAACTAAAGGAACAGAGTCTATTCCTAATGGTTAACAATAATGCAAAGCATCCAATCGCTTCTTTAGCAATAAAAACTTCCTCTCTTGATCCATTTTTGAATAATTATATATATGTTAATTAATAAAAAATGGAATTTCAAAATTATGATTTCTTTAAACTTATAATAAATTATATATATTTATTATAATTGTATTTATGTATATGTTCATCATTAATCTAAATATTATAATTAATAAAATCATCCTTTTTGTTAATTTGATATTTTTACTCTTAAATTATGAATTCTCAGTAAAGTAATTCTCTTATTTACATTCTAATTATTTATTATTTCTACTTCTTATGATATTTTATTAATTAGTTCAAAGAAATTTAAAATCTTTTTTTGAATTAATAAATTTCAGATTACTAAAATAACATTAGAATGTTATTAACTTCCTCAAAACCTGAATAATTGTAATTTATAGTATTATTCAAATTATAGGCTTAAATTGTTTAATTTTATATTAAAAGTTGATTTATGCTGTATAGGATTATTGAAAAGGTTTATAAACAAATTCCATTGAAGTACCAATAGAGACTAAAAGATATAGAATTTGAAAACTCATAAACTATGAGAGTAAAATATTCTTACATAATAGATTGAATTTACTAATGGAATAGTCCAAAAAACATACAATTATGAAGTGCTATCAAATAAAATTCAATTAATCCAAGTATGATTAGTTTTAACTAGGCATCTACAGTAATCAAAGAAATAGTTAGAATTTTCATTAAAATGGAAACTCTTCCTATTTTTCCTTTAATTTATTTACTTACTTTACCATAATTATTTTGGTCTGAATTCTTTATTATATTGTACACAATGCTGTGTTTATTAATGGATATGGCTGTCTCATATTTAATTCTCTTTTACAATCTAAAATAAAGATGGAAATTCGAAGAAAATATCAATAAATAAAAATGTCGAGTCTTAGCTGATATAGATTAATTATTATAAACCTAAAACAAAAGCCCATCTAAGAAAATCGAATGGTAGCAATTAAAATTAGGTCAGATTGTTTGCCTCTAAAAAGGAGAAAAGAGTCCAGCACATATTTTAATTTTAGAGTCAAGTCAAGAACAAGTATTAATTGATTTTAAGTTAAAATATCCATGTCCCTGTACCTTTATAAATTAGGCTTCAAAGACTAAAGGTATAATGACTAAGTTTTTAATAAACTTAAGTGGATGGATCTAATTTTAAAACTGCAAATAAGGAACAATTAAATTAAAAAACGATCCAAAGACTACTTAATTTACAGAAGCTAACATTATTTATAGAGGATAAATTTTAAATCAAACTGATTGGATATTTGGAATAGCAATCTAAGTTGGACATGGATGTTTTTAATAAATAGATCGATATTACAATTGGAACCATTATAATTAGAATAGTTTTTATTTATTTTTGATAAGTGTTCTAATTTTCTTGATTCTTTTAATTCCAAAATTAATCATTTAACAATTTTAAGAATTTCCAACTTATCAAAATTCTATTATAATGTGTCTCTTAATTTTACCTTAAAATTACTTTATAATTAATTAATTTTGGTTGCTAATACATTAATTCAACATCAAGAAGTTAGAAATTAAAGAATCTCATGATAAAAAATAAAAATTAATTAAAGAACAACAACAGTAATTTTTAGAGTAGCCTAATCCAATGCTATAAGAATATGATAAAAAAGTGCTTATATAAGTCTAAAAAGTAGTATCAACAAATAATTTAGATGTACATATAGCCTTAAATAAAAAAAATCCAGCCTATAGTAAAATTTATCAATATAATCAATTAACAAATTAAAATATTTTAGAATTTATGAAAACTGATGTTATAGTTTTTGAAAATCCATAATAAATATTAAAAGACAATGTTAGAGTTTGTTTAATCATACATGATAAAAATAGATACTATTTTAATTATGAAAAATTATAGAACTTGATTGAAAAAACTTCTCCAAGTTAGAAACAAAATTATGATAAATTGCTTTTAGATACTAATAGATTTTAAGCTTATGATGAATAAAAAACATAAGATATTGATTTATTATTGGCTGAAAAATTACAGCCTTCCTTAAGAATTGTAGAAGAAAAAAAACCAATTCAAAAAATAGGATTCTTAAAAGAATAAAATAAAATAAACTTGTTATAAAAAGAATTGAAAGATTCTAAAGATTCACAAAAACAAAGTAATGAACAATAAAAATTAAATCCTTATAGTTCTTTTAGAAAATAAAGTGCAAGAAACTTATTCCAATCTAATACACTTGCCTAACAATAAAAAGACACTTATATACAATAACAATTATTAACATAACAAATACCTTCATAATCTTAAAATATAATTTCATATTAGAATTCACCTCAAATATAAAGATAAAGAAGTAGTAATCATCTTTCTTAAAGTTAATTAAATATCAATATCAAATCATAAGGAGGATCATTAAAAAACATAATTCCTACTCAATAAGACTTGAGTAATGATTAAATTTTAGGTGATGTATTTAATGAATAAGATTTCATTAATAAGTTATTTAATAAATCTGATGTAACATCAAATGAAATTTTAATCGTTTTATTAATATGTAATAATATTGAAAGTGTTTATAATAAAAAATAGAAAAAAATAGAAAATCTTTATTATAATTCTTTGGATGAATCAATTTAAGATTTTGTGAAAATATTTGATTATAAATTTATATCAAGTTCTACTATTGATAATTTTAAGGTTGAATACAAGTAAGATCAAATAGTTAAGAAGGTTGTTTCTATCTAAGGAGTTGTTAAAATCTTTGATATTATAGCATTATTGTAGCCAACCGAAAATAGATAAAATACTTTATCCATTCTTGTCAAAGATCCTGAATCATTTGAATTAGATGAAGGAGCATTATTATATACTAGATAAGAAATCTCTGAAAAGAATTATAATAATTAAAGATATCCCTAAATTAATGAGATTATTGAAGAAATGTTTTGGGATGGATAGAAGTCTATTAAATATTTAAAAAAATAATTAAATTTTTAACAAACACAATAATTTTTGAATAAATTAAATTCGATAAATGAAACTTATGGGAATAGAGAGGTAGAATTAGATAATCTTTATCAATAAATTGAGTAGGACAGTTAATTATTCTTTATTTTAGGATTGAAGTAATTTATACCTATGAAAAGTTAATAAGTACCTTAAGATATTTGGAATAATAATCTTAATAAAGAAAAAATGTTTTAAATCATCTTAAAAAACAATTATAAAACATGTTTTGTAATTGATACATATGAAGAATTAATGTCATTTTTAAGAACTTATCATATTACATAAAAAAATTCAATTGATCTATTTCTCGAAGTCAATTCAATTCACTATAAATTTAGATAATCTATTGAAAATTTAATAGAAAAATAAAATATTTTTGAAGTTTAATAGTAAAAATTAATTGAAAATTTTATTGTAATTAATGCTGAAACACTTGAAGCAATAGTAAAAGATGATTATCTAAAATATCATTTTGTTGTCTTATTTTATTTTTCATAAGGAGTTGGAGCTTATTAATTAGATGAAAAATAAAAAGGTAAACTTTTAAAATTGATTACAATTACTGAAAGATACATAACTTCTATTGGTTCTAGATTAGACAATTAGTATTTTTTTTACAAATCTAATTATTCCTTCAATATATTAACTTAAGATCCATAATGTGCACTTTCTAATCCAAATTTTTTAATTGCTAATGTTGATTAAATGTTCAAATTACTATTTTATTATTGTCCAACAACTTATTTAAACTATGAATCTATCATATTAATCTAGATTTATAGATGTTTTTTATTTGGTTTTTTGACTTATATGATAGACTATTAAAATCCATTTCATTCATTAGATGAATTAATTTTTTTTTATTTAGTCCCATGCAACATTATTACATGTATTATAAATTATGACAATTTCATGCATTAAAAAATATTTGAAAATAATTAATTCGAAATATATCGAAAGAGATTAGAATTAATAAAAAATAGTAACATTTATCTCAAAATAATCAAAATAATCTCTATTGCATTATTAGATTCTATTTTAGTTGAAATTTGTTTTAACATATTTGATATATTCTAAAATCAAGAACTCGAAAATTATTCATTATTTATATTCATCATACTTGAATTAATTGAAAAATAAAAATATTTTCTAGCACAATTAAACTCATATTATGACTTAGGAAAAATGCTAAAATTAATATTATCTTACATAATATTATTATTTTTATTATTATTAGTATATGGTCTAGTGATTACAGACATTATATATTAATTATCGAGCATAAATGTTATTTTTTGGATATTCGGACTTATATTTACGCTATCTATCTCTTATATATTATAAAAAAGTCTAATGATAACTGAATTTAGTTTTTCATGTCACAATGATATTCAATATCATATTGAGAATCAAATTGAAATTGAAAAGTTAAATAAATCTTTAAAAGATTTGAACAAATAAAATTCAAATGAGGCAAAATTGTTCATAGAGAAATTATTTGAAGGAAAAGATTTTATGGATGATTGTCTTTAAAAAAAGATTAAAGGAGATTAATAAATGACTGATCAAATGGAAAAAGACTTAAAATTTACAGATAAGAAAACAGAAAAGGATTTTCTTAATTCACTCAAACCCTAAAATAAATATATTTATTTTATCTATGAACTAACTATATTTGGAATAAGAATCTATTAATAAATCAATAATATTAAGATAGCTTATCTAGTGATTTCTATAGTTTAACTTGTGGTGATGAGTTTGCTGCCTTTAATTTAAATATCTAAATTTAAGCCTTTGGTTTTACTTAGTTTAAGATTTTTATTTTTTATTGTTCTACATTCATTGTTAGATACTAATATAAATGAAACTTTAATGTTTATCATTTCTATTTCTTTAACTCATCATCCCTAATTAGGAATTAATGGATATTATTTTGTGTGCTTCATTACAACAATTTTAGATATGCTAATGGTTGGAATATTCAATAATGCTAATCCCTATTACATTATTAATCATGGATTAATTCTATTAGAAACCAGTCTTCCACTTTTATTTCAAGTTTATAAAACCGAATTCCTATAAAGATATTAATATATCCTGTAAAATAAATTGTTAGATGAATATAAAAAGCTAAATGATGCTTTAGGTCTTTTAATGCCTCGATTCATTAAAGAAAGAATGTCAAAAGGATAAATCTAAATATCAGAAGATTAAGGAGATGTTGCCATTTTATTTTGTGATATATATGATTTTGATGACATCATCAGAAATGAATAAATCAAAGTAGTTGAATTCCTAGATAATTTGTATCGTTAATTTGATTAATTCTGTTAAGCAAATGAATTGTAAAAAATTGAAACTGTAGGTAAAACCTATATGGCAGCAGGTGGATTAAAAGATTATAATATGTCTGATAATTTGAATCCAACTGAAAGAATTTTAGATGCAGCTCTTTAAATGTAGGAAAGTGTTAAAACTATGAAATATGGAGATAAAAAAGCTGTTGTTCTTAAAATTGGTATACATTATGGAAGAGTTGTCGCTGGAGTAATTGGAGCTCATAAACCATAATTTTCATTGATAGGGGATACCGTCAATACAACTAGTAGAGTTTGTTCAACGTCAGAACCAGGTATCATTACTCTAAGTTAATAAGCCTATGAGAAAGTCAGCAATAAAAAATATTAATTTAAATTAAGAGAAATTGAAGCAAAAGGCAAAGGAACCATAAAAACATATTAGTTTATTAAAGGAAATAAAAAATAATAGTAAGCTATTCTTAAAATTGCTGATGATATTTCGAAATCTCCAAATCCCCAAAAATAAAATTCGATGATTAAAAAAATATCAGAAAATTTGAAAAATAAACAAAAAACTATTTTAAAAAAGGTTTCTCTAAATGAAGAAAAATAGGATATTGGCCCAATAACTTTATAAAATACTAATATGAATGTAAATACAAAATTAATACCAAATGCAATTCCTCAATCAATTTAACCAATGATAAGAGCATCGTCAAGATCTGTATTTAATTCCTCATACTAAATGGGATTACTTACACCAAATGAATAGGATTAAGATAGTAATAATAATAATAATAATAATAATAATAATATTAATAATAAAGTTGATGAAAAAGAAAAAAATAATATCAATAATATTTAAGGTGATGGATTAAAATCAAGTATTCCTTTGGGAGGGTACGTTGCAATAGGTTCATATACAAAAAGAATATCAAATCTAGCTTTTGAATTAAATCCCATTAAATCAAGAAAATCAATATACAAAAGGACAGGTACTAAAACAAATATACCTGATTAAGAATAAAACTTAGGAATTGGTGCTAGTGGTTAAAAAATGACAGAAAGTATAAAAGTTGATTTGCCTGTTGTAAAGAGAAAGAGAACAAAAATAATTGCTGAAAAATAAATGGATTTAATGAATAGAATTGAATCTTTATCTGTTCACAAAACCCCAAAAGAAATGAAACTTTAATCTTATATGGAAGAATTAGAGATAAGAAAACTTATTGATATTGAAGATAGTATTTATTAAAATGAATATCATTTAAAAAATATGGAAGAAAAAGTTGAATTTTAAAAATATGGTATTTAAGAATCTGATTATAAAAGTGATAGTCATGATACTTACTTTTCAATTTATGATTAATACAAAGATTTTGATATAAAATAGGTAAAGATTTTTATTGTATTTCTGGTAATTTTATTGTTAATCAAGAATTTGGTTTATTATTTATCATCAACAATGAGCGAAATGTTATAGGTGATTATTATATTTAAATCAATAATTAGTTTAGTACTTTCAATAATAATTTATCACATAAAAAAAATATTAATATTGAAAATACTTATAGGATTCTATTTCATAATATTTTGTATAAATGATACTTTAATAATCTATGTTCATAATATAGAAATGGAAATAATATTTTTGATTAGTCAAATAACTGCTGTTTATATAAACTTATTTTATTTGTAGATTTACAATAGAAAGGATCGAATAAAATTATCTACCTTATACACAATATTAATTTTAATAAATCTAGTATATAATGAATATATTTTGGATATTATACTATTTTAAATATGCATATTAGTCTCAAGTTTGATTATTCAAGAAAAGGAGTTGAAGTTGTTAGCTGAAAATTATTAATGTTTTTCCCAATTTGAATCAAAAAATGCCAAATAAACATAGATTTTATAATATCTATTACCATAACACATAATAGGTAGATTCTTTTCAACAGATATAACAACAACAGATAATTTCACAGATGTTTTTGAAAATTGTACGATTCTTTTTGCTGATATTGCAGGATTTACAAAATATTCAAGTTCAGTCGAGCCAGAATAAGTAGTAAATATGCTTAGAATATTATTTTAATAATTTGATGAAGCATGTCAAAAATTTTAAGTTTATAAATTATACACAATTGGGGATTGCTATGTATGTATGGGAATCATAGATGCAAATAACAGAGATCCTGTTGGTGAAGTATTTTAATAAATTATAATTATAGGCAATTAATGTTGTTTTATTTGGATTAAAAATGATACAGATAATTTAATAGATAAATAAAGATCCATAATTTTAGCACTTGAATATGCGAATTGGAGCACATACAGGGAGAGTAATAGGTGGTGTTGTAGGTACAGATGTCGTTAGGTATGATATTTATGGAGAAGATGTTACAACAGCTAATAAGATGGAATCAAAAGGATAAGAAGGTAAAATAATGGTAAGTTAAGCAACAAAAGATTTAATAGAGAGTGATGATGAATGCATCGGTATTTTCGATTTTGAATTTGCTTAAGAAGTTTATTTGTCTTAAAATAATACTACAATATCTACTTATTTTGTTAACTTTGATTAAAATGATGATGGTTAATGAATCATTTATATATTTTAAATTAGACTTATCTTTATTATACATTATTTCATTTATTTTTCTTAATCTTATTCAGATCACTAGGAAGGATAGACTCATATAAATCATTAACTTTTTTGAGTTTATCTAATTGTTCTTTTTATTTATTCCATCCAAAGTTGATTCTATCTGGTTCTTCATAAGTTCCCATTATTCTATCCCAAACTGATGTGAATTTACCAAAATTTTTCATCCCACCTAATCCTGGTTCATGATGAATTGTATGATGTGTACTATATAATAAAAACTTAAATGGTAAAGCTGGAACATTATCATGAATTGAAATAGCCTTGTTTTTAATAAATATATAAATTTACCCAAGAGGTTGTACATAACCCAAAGAAAAGGAATAAATTCATGTGAATGGGAAAGAGAAAACAAGACGTGAACAAAGGAACTGCTTAAGCAAATGCATCTAATGGATGAAATGCAAATCCACTAAATGGTGTAATGTCTTTTGAAAAATGATGGATTCTATGTAATTTAATGTATAAATAAGGATATGTATGAAGCCATCTATGTACCCAATATCTAGTTATTATGATAATATCTTACGTTAATGTTTCGTCATATACAACATGTAAAATTATACTTATAGGAATATACCAATATCCATAATCACTTATATTATAATACATTAAACTGAATCTTGGTTATGCAACTCTTATTATAGAGACTAGGAAAGTCTCAAAAAACATGTTTATAATAGACCATTTGATGTCATAGTAGATAAAGAATTTAGCATTTAATTTTGGTAAATACAATTGTTTATTCTTTTTGAAAAAGTAATAATAAGATGAGCATGATAGAGTGAAGTATAAGGCCAATGCAAATAAAAATGTTTAGCATACAGTTGACACATATTCCCCAACAATTCCATCAAATCCAAATCTAATAAAATTGCCTGCATAAGATGGATGATTTTAATATTAATCAAGTTTTATGTTTCGATCTATATTAATGAATCCCAATAACTCAGCTTGGTATATTTAATTATACACATACCTAAATACCAAATCATCTATTAATATTGATTATTAATTTATTTTGATTAAAATATTTGTATGAAGTAGTATTAATATGTCTGTTAATTATAGCAAAATTTAACTTTTTATATTAATAATTTCAGTTTTATTAAGTAGTTATCTTGAATAAATACATTCGTTATTTTAGAAAAAAAACAATAAAATAAATGCCAATAATAATAATTCTTTTATCCTTACTTTAATTATCATAATAGATTTCCTTCATTGGTTAAACTGCTACAGGTAAAAACAAATTAAATCAATTTAGAACGATATTTTCCTAAAGTAATGAATTGGATAAAGAAATAAGATTAAAGAATTGATCAAAGAGTTGCTTTTGAATCTATATAGTTGATGTTTAAATTTGTGGAAGAAGAACTTTCTTATGATACTGAAAACAACGAATTCTTAGAGTTATTCTAATAATAGGTAATCATCATCCTCTTATTTTTTAGATTTTTAATCTTTGTCAATCTAAAGTAGATTTTGAACTTTAAAGCAATTAAGCTATGTATAAATTTTTGAATGAGGATCTTAAAAATGAAGTCTATTTCTTTAAAAACATGATTAAAGACAAGGAAAAGATGTTGGAATAAGATATTAAAGAAATTGAAAAATTAAAAAAATAAACAAAAGACAAGAGTAAAATAGAATAAAAGCTCAAAGATATAAATTATCTTATTAAAGAGATAGACAAAAACTTAGAAATTGGCACTGCAGAAAAATTATATGGATTATTAGAAATAATAGAGTCTAAGGCAGTTATTGGATTATTTCAATATTAAAATGAATATTAAGAAATCTAGTAGTACTTAAAGAATGTAGATTTGCTCTTCAAATCAAGAAATTTTTAGTAAGATAAAGTAAATTTATAATAAATACTTTGTAGTTTGAAATTGTTAACTTAATATCAATGGTGAAAAATGTTCTTTTAGATTTACATTTAAATATTATAATCAAATTATAAGAGGAATAATTAGATGAATATGAAGCCATGTCTTTTTTTGAAAATAGCAAAGTCACTCATTAGATAGCAAGAGATTACTTTTAAAATGAATTACACTCATTTTTAGGTATTTTTTTTTATTGATTTTATAGAAATCTTAATAAATAAATGGGAAAATCTTTTATTGATTTAAGAGAATACTTAAGAAAATTCAGATATCTTTAAAAATTTGATTTTGCAACTTAAAAAATAAAATTCTAAAATGATTGAAACAAACAATCACAGTATATAATTAGTTAATTTCTCAATTAAACATCTAGAATAAGACTTTTTACAATAAATAAAAAGATAATGAATAAATTGAAATGTGATTTAGAGTTATATATATAATAATAATTTAAAATAATAAAAATTCCATATACATAACTCATATATAGTTATCAATAAATTTTGAAAAATAAGAAGATCAATATGAATCCTCCAAAAATAAACCAAACAGAATTTTTCTTAAACCAAATAGACCATTCTAATTCTGCAGCTTTATCTTTGAACTGAAATAATATTATATGAAAATTTTACTAATTTTGAGTCTTCTTTCAAAGATTTGGCCTTCTCATTCATATCTAAATATAAATAATTAAAAATTACCTTATAATTTCTCATCTCTATCAAAGAGTAATTTGACATTTTCATTCATTATTTTTTTGAGTTCTGTCATTTCCATTTTTAATCTTTCTAGATTCTTAGATGATGATTAATCTTAGAATTCTTATTTCTTCTTTTTTATAAACCTTTCTTTTTTTTATAAAATATATCAAATACCAAATTATTAAAAACAATATGAATCGTTGCTTTCAATGGTCTCTAATTTAGATCTATAATTAACATTAGAGGTTCCATATCTTATTTGTAATTCCTATTAAAGAAAATTGAATTACATCTTAAAACCCTTTTTCAATTTCATCAAGATAGCAACAAGCTAATTTCAGATTAAAACTAGAATCATAAAAGACTACATAACAAACACCCATAGAAGTCTTGTAAACAGCTATAAATATAAATTAATCAAGTACCTTTTACATTACTTTATTGAGAATCCAATTATTAATACTATACATCAGACGATAAATTGCCACGTTTCAATATTAATTTTATTTATCTTTTCACTTCCAAACTTAATTAGACTTTTTCATTTGATTGTACTTCACAAAGCAATAATCCATCATTTGCTCTAGCTAAATTAAAGATTGAATACTGTCATACCTATTATTGTATCAAAAATCATAATTTTTTTATTAATTAATTAATACAAAGAATGATTATAAAATACAATTAATTATATAAAGTTGTAGATGTCTTAAATGGTTTGATTTACAAAATATTTCTATTATGTATGATTAAAAAGATAATCAATATTATCTTAATATTTAAATACTTGATAATATAAATAATCTATTTATAATTTATAAAATGAGATGATTGCAATTTGGAAAAGCACCCCTATAAATATTTTATTATTTTAACTTTCACTAAAAGTGCTATCACATTGTAAAATTGTGAACAAAACAGTATTGATCGAAATGAATAGGATTGAATGATGACAAAGATTAACAGATTATTTATCAATTTTATCCTGAATAATTTTAAATTTTGGAATTAGTTTATATAGAAGGACAATAGTAATGTGTGTCAAAATAGAGTAATAAATTAAGGCCCAATCCAAATACAGACACTCAAACATGTTTCAAAGTTGATATTGTCAAAAGACTGATGTTTTTAATTTGAATTTTATTATTAAAGATGTTAGGAAGCTTTTAATATTGAGTTTTTGAAGGTTGATGGAGTATAGGGAGGTAATGGAATATATATATATGTATTTGAAACTGTTTATGAGAATTCAGGATAAGAAATTATATTTTTTTGTAGAACATGTAGAGCATTTTTGAATAATTCAAAGGAGGATGAAAAATGCAAATAGAATAGGGTAATATTGAATATAATTCATTTTAAAGTTTTAAGAATTGAGAATCGAACGATTATGCTCATATTAACATCTATAATAGAAATATTACATAGATTGATGAGGATAATATAGAGATTTAAGCAACAAGAAAACAAAGAAATTATGAAGATATACTTTTTGATGAGGTAGTTCTATGTAAAAATAGTTGAAAAAAGTAAAATTAGCAATAAGTAAATATGACAAGAAAGAAAAATGACTAATTGAAGAATGTTTTTAATGAAAAAAATTCATATTGATCTTAATTGAGATGAGGATACTTATATTTAAATAGATGATACTTGGTTAAGTAAGAAACCTATCTATAGGTTTTGATGGAAATCATCAATTAAGAGAAATTTGATAAGTATTTAGTGAATTATTTCATATTAAACAATTTATTTAGAATACCTATTAATCCAGAAATTTATTAAAGAGAAGTAATTATATTTATAAATGAATAGGATAATAGTAATTATTAATATTGGAGGATTAAAAATTGAGAATAATTATCAAGGTTTTTGAATGTGATTAAGTTAAAGTAGATGAACATTGTGATTAAGAATTATGAGAAATTGTAATATGAAAAGGATTTACAATAGCAATTCGAGATCGAAAATAATGAGTTGATTGAATGATAAATATTTAAAAATAAAAATATCATTTTTAAAATAAATGGGCAGAACAGGAATAGCAATTGGTTTAAATAGAGGATTTATAACATCCTCTTTAACAAAGAAGCAATTAAGAAGAAGACCATCATAAAGAAAAGGAACATTAGGTAAGAGAGTGCTTTCTGTCAGAAAAGTCATCTAAGAAGTAGCAGGATTGAGCCCATATGAAAAGAGAATTATTGAATTATTCAAAACCAATCAACCAAAAGATTTAAAGAAGGCAGGAAAATTGGCAGCTAAGAGATTGGGTACAAATAGAAGAGGAAAAAGAAAGATTGAACTTGTCTAAAATCTTTATAGAGCCATGAGAAAGTAATAATAAACAAAACATTGATATATTACATACATTATACCAATATAATCAATCTTGCTTTCTTTTTCTTCTTTAGCAAAATAACCAATCATATTTTAATGAAAAATATTCCCATAATCCCATTCCCAATTCTTATCTACTCATACCTCTTTCAATATTCCTTTTTAAATATTTATGTCTATCTTTTAAGATCTTTCCAATAATATCAGTAGTAGATATGCCTTCAGTTCTTTTAGTTGCCTATTCATATATGTATCTTTATATTACCTTGAATTTTCCAAGTTTCTTGCACAAAGCATATGCATCATCGACATCAGCAGTTGTATATGGAATATCATCATGAGCAACATAATCGATACGATGATCATTGAGGAATTTCTCATCTATTATCCATGGAGCAGGATAAATAACCTCATCAGCCCTTAAAAAATATAAATTAACACTTACCATTTACAATGTTTAACACTTTCAGTTCTTTAGTAACCATCCATCACAGATTTTCCTTTAAATTTCTCAACATCCTCTTAAGAACACACTCCAACAATCAAATAAGTATTTGGAAAGAGCTTCTTGCATTATTCTAATTAACGTGCATGTCCATAATGAAACATATCATAGACTCCATCAGCATATACACGTACTTATTTTTCTTCTTTATTCATTTAAATAAATAAAATATTAAAATAATGTAAATAAATGGCCGTTTGTAATTTGACTTAAAACTAGATGATAAAGATTATAAAATAAGTGGAAACATTTTCCTGAAGGAAAACATATCTACAGATGTTGAAAAAGAAGCTGAAACTATTGCCAATAGAATCGTTGAAAAAGTCCGATAAAAATCATTAAACAAATCAATCAATAAATCTGGATAAAACAAATACGAATCATAATCAGCTACAAAATTTAGTCAAACTGAACATTTCAAATCTATTGAATAGTGTAATTCTCGATAAGAAACTTTAAAAAATGACTATAAATAACCATTTATTTCAGAATATCAGACTGAGTATAGATCCTCTTGTAAATTTAATAATGAAAATCAATAATTAGATATTTGTGAATTAATTACTCCTTAAAAACATAAACAAAGAAATACTAAATCTTAGTAATGCATTAAAAAAGATTAACAAATTAATAAATAGTCTACTATTTAATTAGCTGAAAGCCAATTTATTATTGAAAACAATACAAATAGCAATATTAAAGATGGAAAACATATTATTTAATTGATGTATTCTTATATACTATGATTTTAGAGACAATGCTCATAATCTGATAAGAAAAAACTCGTAAATTTTAAATAAAGTTTAACTCTAGTCTCCTCTTAAATCATCAATTAATACTAAATCATCTCTAAGTATCAAAACTTCAATAAATACATAATCTAATAAAAAGAAAGAAGATATTGTTACTCAATTATTAGGAAGTCTAAGAAATGCAAAAAAAATTAAAGATGAATATTAAAAAAGATTCTTTTGATTACTTATATTTATTAATACATAAAGTAATATCATTTCAAAGTATATATGATTATTAATGTCAATAATCAATAAGATATATTAAATTATGAATCTTTTTAAATCCTTTAGATTTTATCTATTAATTACTTAAATAATTCTAAAAAATTTAATTCTCATTTTCCTAATAAAATTAGTCATTTAACATCATAAGATATTCATAATTTAAAAATAACTGAATATTAAAATTGAATCATATTATTATATATCTCAATAATGAAGTTCAGATATTATTTACTTCTATCTTTAAATATTATAATCTATTCATATTTCTCATTTAAATTTTCTTTTATATAAAAATAATGAGAAATCCCTTTTATTGTTAATTTAATTTAAAAATTTATTAAACTAATTTTTGTTGAGAAATGCATTACAATGATGAATTAATCAAGAATACTATTTAAAAAAATTATTTTTTCTTAAATTTACAATTATCAATCTTTTAAAGCCCAATATTGAATTCAGCATGATAATCCATTTTTTAAATCAAAGATTATATATATTATTTGATCTTTTTTACAATATGGATAATAGAAATCTAAAATCTAGGCTTAAAAGGCTTTATTATTTACATAAAAATCTCTGTATCAATTATTTCTTTATTAATTATATTTAATATCTTAAATAATAATAATATTTTGATAAAAAAGATTAATTTATTATAATTATGATTCTATATAATGATAAAAGAAGACATTTAAATATAAAATCATCATATTTTATATTAATTAAGATGTATAAGATTTCTAATTATTTTTAATTTGTCATTAATAATTATATTTAATGTCTTAATAAAAATAAACAGTTTTTAATTATAATAATGAAGAAATGTAACACATTAGTTTATATATTTAGTGGTGGATGTTTAATGTTGATGTATGATTCAGATGATGAAGTTGATAAATTTAATTAAAGTCTTCAGGAAAGCTAAATCCAATTATAAAAAACAGCTACTAAAATGCAGCAAATTTAACTATAGAATAATCACAATATTAAAAAATGATAATATATTAATAAATCAATCTATATAAATAATGTATCAAAGAACTATTTTAGAAGACAATGAAAATATTTAAGAAGATTGTAAACCCAAGAGATATGCAGCTAGTCTAGAAGGATAAAATTTTAAGAAAAAACAAACTAATTAAGCAAGTATTCAAGAGTGGGTTGGATTAATTGGTATCATCGTTGTCACATATCTCTTAATTATTTTAGTATGGGCCTTATGTATTAAATGTGTAATTATGCAAATTAGGTTTCATAGGTATTGATAGCAATTTTAAAGTCACAGTTGGTATCTTTATGGTCTTATTTGTATTATTTGTGATTGGAATTTTGATTTATTGGTATTATGGTTTGAAAAGTCGTGAAGAATTAATTCGATCAATGATGTTAAGTAAATGGTAGGATAGTTCTTATGAAATTAATAATTGATTTAATTACGATTCAATAATCGTCATGATGTATATACTATTATGTGGTTTATTAAATTATTTTTAAAATGTTTCATCATTTAATTATTTGCACTCAGATTATTTTGAAATTATCTCACAATATTTAACATTAATGGATTTAAATTTGAAGTGAATATCTATTCTATAATACTCAATGTAACGATATGTTTATTATTGAAATCTATAAAGAATAATTTTAATTACAATATTCATGTAAAAGATGATAAAATAGATTATATAAATTTAATTTTCAATACTATTATGTAAATTAAATAATACTTGATTAGTTTATATATTGAAATTCTAGAGAGTATATCCTTTTATTATAGATAATTTAGCTAATAATAGAAAATTTATATAATTTCAGAATATTTATTTTACCAATAGTTCCTTATTTTATAAATATTTATTATTTCAATAAATAAATTAAATTATACGATAATTTAATATTCAATCTTTAAAGATATAACATATTAACCGAAATACGGATTTATATAAATTGAGTATCTTAAAAATCAATTAGAATAGAAATAAATATATAAAATTATTGATTTTATAAAAAAAAAGTTATTAAATGATAAACAGATTATCTTATAATGCAGCTATTTATTGGCAATAAATTTGCAAACAAAATAATAATGATTAATCTTAATCAATTAGATAATGGAATTTCATTTTTTATAAGATTTTGTTTTAACTATTATATCAGTAATAATCTAAGTTACTTACTTAGATAAAAAATTCAAGTTATTTAAGGTTAACTTTATTTGGTTAATCAATTTCTGTAAAATGTATAAATTCATTAATTCATAGAATTGATATTATAATATATATTAAATTTATGAGTGCTAAAGTTGTTGAAAATTATTCCCTCCTAGAAGTAATAGGTTCTGGACAATATGGTAAAGTTTATAAGGCAGTGAACATAAAAAATAATAGTTTAGTAGCAGTGAAAGTTGTTAAAATAGAAAAGTTTAAAGAAGTACCAAAATTAGAGGAATTCACAATGAACGAAATCCAAACATTGGCTAAGATTAGTAATCCATATGTTGTTAAATTTATTGAAATGCTTAAGAGTTCTCGTAATTACTATTTTGTTTATGAGTATTGCAATGGACAAACTCTTGAGGCTGTGATTTAAGAGCAAGGGTATAAATTTGTTTAATAAGGGTTCAAACTGAAAAGGAAGCTCTATATTATTTTAGATAATTGGTTTAAGCATTCCAATCATTAATTTAAGACAACATTATGCATAGAGACCTTAAACCAAGCAATATTATGTTACATAATGGATAGGTGAAGTTGGGAGATTTTGGATTTTGTAAGGCCTTGAATGGTCCTCAAGATTTATCTTCAACAATGGTTGGGTCTCCAATCTATATGGCTCCAGAAATATTAAAAGGATAAGAATATTCAATTAAAGCTGATATTTGGTCTTTGGGATGTGTTTTGTATGAATTGTTATACGGAATTTGTCCATTTGAAGAGAAAACTATGGCTTAATTAATGTTGGCAGTTGAAGAGAGGGAAATTCAATTTTTAGATAATGTTAATGTAGTATCATAACAGACTAAGGATTTATTATAAAAATTACTTACAAAAGATCCAAATAAAAGAATAAATTGGAAGGAATTATTTGAAAGAGAGTTGACTTATGCAGAGAGTAGAATATTATTAATCATTTAGGAACTAAAAATAATGAATAACATGGAAATTAGATTTAATAAGAATTAACATTGAATTCTTAAAGGAATAAAGAATCAAAGGCTTTTAAATATTTATTAATGGAGAGAAATAAGATATTTTATTTATATAAAGTTGCTGAAGAAGTCTTAGAATTGAGCAAAGAAGAAGTTAATTATATTTGTTATTATTATTTGTTTTTAGAGAGATGAATGTAGAGAATCTTAGAGTGTATATTGTGGCTATATGATAATGAAATATATCTGTTATATGATAGAGATGATCAGAATGAATCTAGTTGACAAATTTAATGTTTCAGCTTTTCCTCATCTTGTAAAAAAATAGGAATTATAAAATGATATTACTAAAACATTTGAGTATAAAAGTTTTTGTACACTTATTTAAAAAGAAGTAGAAACAGCTAGAAAGATGTTTAAGCATTTTTAAGATGAAGCAGATAAATTTTATAAATCATAAAATAATGGATAACATATTTATTAAGGAACAGATTTTACTCATTTTGAAAATGAACTTTAAAGAGAATTGTCATCATCTGAAATCTCAATTACTTTTATGAAAAAAATTGTATTAAAATATTGTGAAGATTTAAAAAGTTAGTATCTTCAATAATTTTTAGATAAGAATCCTTAATTAGGTAGCAAGTAATCTTATTTTTAATATTTATAGATAATTATTACATATTGAAAAAACATTAGAATCATTAATTTTAGATGAATTTTTTGAAAATTGTATGGACATCCAACAAATCGATTTAGAACAACAAAATTATTTTTCAATCCTTAATAAATATTCAAAAGCAGATTTATTATAAGTAATCACTAATAAGATGGATTATATAAGACATAAATTATATAAATGATAAGGAGCTTGTATCTTAATAATAAATTTTATTTATTTTTGCTATATTATATAAAGCATATAAGACCTATAAGTATATATAACTAGTATCTCTTTTAAATGAATCAATAAATCTGTTAATTTATTTAAATTCATGCTTTGAACTATTTGAGATATCATTCAAATTATTTATGAGATTGTATACTCTTAAACTAGATCTAAATTTAGAAGCGAATAACATATAATAGGAACTAATTAATATATAAAGATTGAGATAAATAAAATGAGTAATCAAAGCTACGACGTTCAAAGAATGGGACAGTCTATAATTTTACTAGGTTGTTTTCTTGTAAAGAATTTATTTCTTTTTAAGTTAAAATCTTCTTATGGAGTTGTGAAGTTAGTTGATCTGTACTCATCCTATTTCTTTCTTGGATCAGTACAGAATTTCAATTCTATTTTTCTTAGATAATCTATTATGCTCTGAATTTTGGGATTAGGCTTATGATAAATTTCTAATTCTAAAGAGTCTAAACTTGAATTTAATTCTTCTGACATATTATTAAAAATATTAATTTTCGATATTTCACTAAGTTTCAATTGAAAAATTAATATATATAATACGATATTAAATTTCTGTATTAATCATAAACTTAATTCACTATAATTAAATGATAATCATCTATAAATTATTATACATTAACAAAATTAAATCTTTAATGAAATTTCCTTTATTTTTATACATTAAACAATCAAAATTTTGGCAATTTATGAATATAATCTAAAAATGAATATTCAAAATAAAAAACAAAAGAAATTTTTTTATAATTGAAATTAATAATAATCATTTATAAAATTAAAGATCATAATTAAAAACAATAAAAAATTTAATGGATTTAATAATCTTATAAAATTAATATTTTAAATAAAATAATTATGTTAGAGAAATTACCAAAAGTGAGCCAGAAAAAAGCAAGATCATAATCTTTATATCAGAATCAAATTACAACTTAGAAACTAAAGGAATCACTGTACAATTACTAAACAAGTCGGTATGGTTAAAGAACTTAAAGAAATCCTTTTATAGAATCAATTGTTAAGGAAGCTGATGTAGTTATGACTAACTAACATCTGAAAGAGAACTTATTTAAGCTAAAGGAGATGGGATTATTAAGGAATTGTTAGCCAATAATATAAATATAGTCAGGTTTAAAGAAAAAAGATTATATATTAAATGATTATCATAATAAAACCACACTAAATGGATATTCAAGAAATTATGGTGGATTGTTTTATAATAGATGACTGCAATTTACTAAATATTATATATTTGTTATTTAAAAATTAAATGTGATTCTGTCATTCTATTTTAAAGAAAAATAACTTCCAAAAATACATAATATATTTAAATGAATAATATTAAATAAATAATATTAGCAATTAAAGGATGTATACAAAATTTTATATTAAAAGAAAACATCTAAGATTTAAAGAAGTATAACCCTTTGCCTGAATAAGAGTAAGGCATTTAGAAAATTAAATTAATACACATTGCTGCATCAAATCCTAGTTTAGAAATTTTACAATATTTTGTTGAAAAATCCTAAAATTTAGAAATCACAGATTCTGTATGAAACTAAATATATTTATATAGATAGGAAGAACTCCATTGCATTATGCTATTACTTATGGTCAATTTGGCAATGTTTAATTATTGATTAATAAAGGAGCAAAGATAGAAGCATAGACATTAGGAGGTGATACACCTTTGATAAAAGCTGCTTTAATAAAAAATAATTAATGCTATAATTATTTAATTAGTGTAGGTGCAAATAAATCACATTAAAATTTTATTGGTCAAAGTGCTGAATAAATATATTAATATAATTGAATAACTAATAATAAATATGCAATATATAAAATAATTATATTCAATTCTTAGTATACTTCTTCTATTTTCTTTATTGAGATTACTATTTTAGAGAATTAGAATATAATAAAGAGTTTTAATTCTATACTTTTAATAATTAATTAATAATAAAATGCAATACATTTAATATCATCCTCAAATTATAGAGGAATTTAAAATGAATGAAGCTAAAAGTTTGTTTTAATCTATTGATGGTTCAATAATAACAAAATTTGAAGATAAGGAATCATTCAAAGAAGTAATATTACTTTATAATCATAAAAAAAAAGATTTAGTCTAATAACAAATTCTTTTTGGTTTAAATTCTATTTTAAATGAAGATAAATATATTCTATTGTGTAAGTGCTATTATGAAATGAGATATACAAAATTAAAATAAAATGAAGGTTTTTATATTGTTATCTTATATAATTCATAAGGAAAGGAATATTTAATAATCACTAATTCTAATTAATTTGTGAAAATTGAAACAATAATAAAAAGATAATGTTTGAGTTAACATTTTCTCAATAAATATCACATAATTGAATAAAAAAGATATTTACCTTTTGTTTAAAATTATTAAGTAACTATATTGTTATCAAATAGAATTAAGAATTGTATTGTGTTTTGTAAATAGATAAGAAATAAATTATAACAGAATTAGATAAGGAATAGTTTTATAATAGTATTATTATAATGAATTATTTCAGTGAATAAACTAAAATAGTTAAAATTTATGAAGAAAATTCTATGTATTATTTGTTTATGAAATGCATGAAATTGTAATCATTAGAATCTTTGATACTTGATGATTTTGAATTTAGAGAAGCTCCATTAGTAAGCATATTTTATCTCACTCTTTAAATATTATAAAAATATTAAAATTTAGGATTATATCATGGTAATATTAATTTAAAATCTATTTTCATTAACATGTAAGGTACCTATTTATAAATACTCATTTTATTTCCAAAATATTTATCTAATAATAATAAAGGAATCTAAATAGATTTGTTAAATTTAGGTTAATTACTTTATTAAATAACATTTTATGAAAAAAAGGATAAAATTAAATAATTTGTAGATCAAAAACTTATTACATAATAAAAATAATTATATTAAAATATGAATACAGAAAATAAGCAATTTAAATTTTTATTTAGAATAAGTTAATTAGATTTACTGAATCAATTACTGGCATAAAATATTACAATTGAAAATGCATTAAAACATTAATGGTTTGTCACAGTTAAATAAAATCTTAAAACTGAATTTATGAAGGATAAAAAATAATGTTTAAATTTACGTACTATAGTTGAATCAAATAATGAATTAAGTATGACTATTTCAATGGATAAAAGAATTTAATCTAAGGAATTTGCAGAATATGGTATATTATATAAATTATAATTTATTCAGAAATTGAAGATGAATTTCCAGTTAAATGTTCAATTTTGAATCCTTTTTAGATGAATCCTTCAAAATAAAAACATGATAATTGTGTTCCAAAATCAAAAAGTTTTTCAAGTTTTGATTTAACTTTTGAAAATAAAGAAAAATTCTTTACAAATAATGAAAAAATCTTTGCAAATAATTAATCTTTTTTTATTTAATGATAAATAAATATAAATTTTATTATAAAAATTTATTTATTTATAAATTAATAATTCATTTTATATTTGAAAAACTTTCCCAATATTAGATTTATTGAACAACATTATGTGGAATAATAGCTTTTTCAGGAATTCCTTCTTAAAACACTCTAAGAAAATCTAATCTCTTTTTTAATTCATCATTATTTTTATGTTATTTTTCAGTTGATATTTATTACTTCACTTATTTACAATTCATTTCCAAAAATTAAATTATTTATTTTGCTTATAAATTCTCTCTTACAGCTTTTCTAATGCTAGATTCAGATAGATCAGCTATTATTAAAATTTTAAATCGTTTTTTTATTTCTGAAAACAAATTTAATAAATTGCATAATATTTCTTCTTCTTAATGATCTCCAGAATTTAAATAAGCATATATTCTGAAATTAGCCTCAACAATAATATTACATTAAATTCCAATAGAAACACTTGGAGGTTCATAAAGAAAGTTCCAAAATAAGAATGTAATTCTCATTTATTATTCATGATAATGTGTTAAACCAAATTCTTATAGATCTTTGATAACATTTTTTTACCATTCTTCATTTGGCATTTAATATATTTTCATAGGATCCAAAACACTCAAACATAGTATAAATCTTACGACATTACTAGTTTATTTAGTAACATAATATTTTAGAATTTAATTAATTTATTTATGAGTTGAACTCAAAATGAAAGAAAATCCAACTCCTAAATTTCTTTCAAGTAATTTGGATTCGATTAAAGTTTGTCTAACTTATTATCTATAACAAGAAATATCAGATCGATCTCTTCTACTAATCAGATCAAATAAATCCTTCCACTTTCTACTACATTCTCTTTTTAATTATTCTTTGTTTTCAGTACAATCTCCTATTTTAGTTAAAATACTTTTGCTTTTTCCTTCGATTGAATCCCTTAATGAATTCTAAAAATTAGAATCCAAATAATAATAAGAATTTAAAGCTTATTGTTATCTTTCCTCTGATTTTGTAATAAGTTTTAATTGAATTGCCAGATCTAGAATAGTATTAGGTGATTATTAATAATTTTGAGCTTGTATAATACTTTCTGGGACTTTTCTTTCTTCAAAAAATACCATTCTTTAAATAATTGTCCTTAAGTTTGGCGGCAAGGATCTAAATACTGGAATACATGCTTATTCTTAAGGTTTATAGATGCTTGTATCTAATAATTGTAAACATCCTAAAAAATCTTCTAATTATTAAGACATAGATCAGAATATAAATATTATTTAATTTAATCATCTTTTTCTACATTTTCTACATTTCCAATCCATCTAATCAATTTCTTCTTGTGTTTTATTAAGAGGTATTCCTGCACAACTTTAATGATACCAACATTTTTTTTCACTGCATTCAATCCATTTAGTATCTGTTCCAGGACAATTTGGATTTTCACATTTTTAATTTGTTTATTCTTCTCTATCAGATGTTTTTTCATCATTGCTCATAAACATACATTCATAATCACTCCGTACTCTTTTTTCAGGATTATAAGCAATTAAATAAGCTTTCTCAGTTTCTGATAAATATTTATCATCTTATTAGTATATATTGGCTTTTCCAAACTTAATTTCATTTAAAAATTCTTCCTTTTTGAATTGAGAAATTTGTTTTGTATTTAATTTCTATTTCATTATTTCTAATGTTGCTCCAGGTATCCAATATTCTAAGGTTCTTTTGATATTTAATTATTCTTAATATTAGAGATCCATTATTAAAAATTATTGTTATAAATATTATTGTAATATTAAAAAGATGAAAAGCATTGTGAAAACAGAAGAAGATTCTCCAAAAAAGCCTATTTGGGAATCTTTATTAGAAAGGGTATTCTAATCAATTAATCTAGGGATCATGTAAAAAGTAAGAAATAATCAAAAAAATAGAAGAAAAGAAAAATAAAGATGAAGAGCTTGATCCAGAATGTACTTTTAAACCTTTTTTAATGAATTAAAATTGTAAAATATCATTATTATATTTCAGAACTATAACTTGATAAACCTTTTTATGAGAGACAATTAAAATGGTTGGAAGATAGAAAACAAAAGATTAAAGAAAGGATAGATGGCGCTAAAGATAAGAGTTTAGAAAAATGTTCATTTCAACCACAATTAGGACCATCTCCTTAAATACCTGAAGTAGATATCAGAAATACTAAAGGAATGGATTCATTCATCTAAAGATAAGAAAAAGCAAGAAAATTAAAATAAGAAAAACAAGTATTATTAAATAATCCATATTCTCATTTAAGTTCAGAAAAGAAGGCTGTTTTGACAGTAATTATAGCATTTATTCTATATAGAATCAATCATATTATAGTAACAATCATCCAATTTCAAAGGAATATGAGTCTATTAAGAAACAAGAAAGAATTGAATTTTCAAAAGCTATAGAGAATTCATAAGAAATTGAAACTTAATCATAAACCTAATAATAGTAGAAAATGTAATTGGGTATGGCTATGAAAATGTTACACAATCAATTATATAATATTCAATTTAATAGTGAATTTTGATGTGTTTATACTTACATTATTAGATAATAATAATATATTTATTATATTTACTTTGATGATATTTCAATATGTCTTTTTGATTCTCTCTGCATTTTTAGGAGAATCATATATTGTTGGTGGTCTACGCATTTCATGTTAAAAGTGATTGTATTCAAAAGTTCTATTTGATCTTCTTGTATAAGCTAATTCCATTAAGAAATCAAACATATCATCCTATAATAACTAATCTTATTTACTGTGCATGCATATGCTGCTTCATAAAACATTGCATAACATGGATATACTTTTGCTCTTTTCAAATAATCAGCTTCTGTCTTATCCATTTTAAAGTGTTCAGCTTAGTCACAATCAAACCATTTCTAAAATCTAAGAGCACATAATGTAAAATAATCTTATTATGATTAATAAGTAGGATAAGGAACATACACTTTCTATTTTGGAGGTAATCCAACTTAAAAGCAATTTGTTCTACCAGTAGGTGTTGTACCTCTAAATGGAAATAGACAATCTTCCAATGCCCCTATAAACATTAATAAGAATATATTACATCCTTCGAATAATATTGTGTAAACATCATCAGGTTCTATTAATGAATATTTATTAGCTGTAGTATCAAAATAGAAACACTATTTATTATATGAATATTACCTTTGTATATAATCTGAACCAATCTTTCAATTAATCCTTTTCCCAAACAGCATCAGTTCTCAATACAAAATCTTTTTCGTAATCTTTCCAATTTATTCCTTAAACTAAATTATATGCAACTACCTTTGTGGGAGAAATCATAATTAGGAGGCATTTTATGGAAATCTTTGGGCAATGTCTCCAATAAAGGTTGTGTAGCCATTTTATTTTATTTATTATTATTATATTTATATTAATATCCATGGCAATTGAGTTAGAAATATATTTATGTATTAATAATATACTTTCCATCTTTAAACTCTAAAAGTTGATATTAGAATTGATTATTGTAATACTATTTATTTACCTAAGGAAATTAAAGATATTACAATATTGAATTGTTAAATTAAAATTAATAATTAAATTAAATGGATCCTGAAGATGATTAAGAAATTATTGATTCTATTGTGAATGGTATTATTATATCTTATTGTTCAGCTTTAGAAAGTGATGATGAAAGATCGTTTTCACCTTCTTAAACTAGATCGGATACCAATAGAACTTATTCTCCTTAAATTAAGAGATTCTAATAACCTTAGTATTAAATATTCACATAAATAGATATTCAATTAAGAAAATTCAAAGTCCAATTATAGGCTTTAAATTAGATTGTTGGACAATTCAACCATTCACCTTGGATGATGACTTATATTTAGATGGAGATTTAGTATGCATTATATTTTTATATAGATTCTTAAATGTAAGGATTAAACTAACAGCAGGAAAATCTAAGGTCTATTTGAAAAAGGAAATGATGAACAAAGAGAATTTATATTTTAAAAATTATTACCCGGAATTGTTTCACTTGCTAATGATATTTTTGGAAACTATGTTGTTCAAAGAATTTTAGAATAAGGTAATTAGTTATAAAGAGAATTGATTTTTGAACACTTATCATAGTAAATACTAGTTTTATGTTATAATACTTATGGATGTAGAGTAGCTTAAAAATTGATAGAAATTTCTTATAATACTTTTAAGTTTGATTAGATATTTAATATTTTATCATCTGAAATCAGGAATTTAGTACTTGATACTAATGGCAATCATGTGATTCAAAAAATTGCTGAATTGGTAAAATTTTAGAAAAGTGAATGGTTGATTGAAGGTGTTTTGGGATAGATTTAAAAACTATCAAATGATTCTCATGGATGCAGATTAATCTAATAGATATTGGAATTATCTTCCATTTCATAAGTAATGATATAGATTAACAAAAAAGTTAAATGATATTTATAAGGAATTATTATTCATATAAGATGAATTATGCTTTTCATAATATGGGAACTATATCATTTAAATATTGTTACTTAGAGGACCAACTGATGTTATTTATAAAATTTAAAATGCTATTATTAAGAATTTGGAGAAATTAAGTTGTGATAAATTTGGAAGGTATTCTATAATATTTAAATAGTAATGTTGTTGATAAAAGTGTAAATATTTCAGTTTATATGAGAAAAGAAATATTAAAAGTATTCATTCATAATATGAATGTCTTTTATAAATTATCTAATAATTGTTATGGTAATTATGTAATATAGAATTTCTGTAAATAACTTGAATATAATTAATTAATAAAATTATCATATGATTCAAGTTAATTTAATACTTAATTTGGTTAACATGTATATTAAACCTTATAAAAATTGAAAAATTGATTTAATTATTAGATAATATTTAATATCCAAAATGGACATTAATATAAATTTTGGATTTTAAATATTATTTTTGTATATATTGTAAATATATAAATCTTAATATCAATATTATTTATATTATCTAAATTTATAATGGGCAGAGATATTGAAAAGATGAAAGATAAACATGTATATCCATTTTATCTTAACTGAAGGGATCTTCAAGCAAAAAGAATAAAAAAGACAAAAAGGAAAAGAAGGAAAAACATAAGAAAAAGGACAAGAAATAGAAAAAGGAGGGTTAAAAGTAAAAATAATAAAAGAAAAACCAATGGGGAAAATATGGTACAATAAGGTTATATAATATCATTATTAAAGCAATACAGACATGTATTTAAAACGTGAGGAGTTTTTGATGTGGCTATCAGATGTTAAAATGCTTAATATTGAAGCAATCACACCTTAAGAAGAGAAGAAATTTTTTGAAGAATATGTTGAATGTTATAATACAGCTACCTTTCCATCTAAGAAATTTTATAATTTCAAGTTTTGGTTTGAGAAAGAATAACTTAAAGAACATTTGTAATAAGCAGAGATTGAAATGCTCACTTTTGATGATGAAAAAGAAAAATAGTATATTAATTGTTTATAAAATTTTTAATAGGAAAGAACAATAGGAATAAAAGGAATTGATAAAAAAATAAAAATTATAAAGAGAATATTAACATCTTCATGAATTTTAGAATATTGTAATAAATTGATTATTTATTAAGGCACAAGATATGCAAAAATAGAAACAACTTTAAGAACTCTTGAGACATTATTTGTAGATGGGTAATCATGAGGCTGCTGTAAAAATTTAAAAGTAACTTAATCCTATCCATACTATCGATATGAATTAAATCTAATAATAACCACCAATTGACTTTGACTATGATTATGATAATTTCTGATCCTTTTAATATATATATATATTAAATACAAAGATATTCAATTTAATATATATAATATGTTAAAGAGTATAATAAAATTAAAATGTGTAGCTGTTAATTAATATAAATAATTTGAATATCAAATGGCAAAAATAATAGATAATTATATATTAATTGAGGGTATAGGTTAAGGAACATTTGGTGAAATCCATAAAGGAAGAAATTTAATATCCAAAGAAGCAGTGGCTGTGAAAACTATTAAATTGGATAGATTTTTAAATGATTCAATATTGAAGGATATGATAATAAATGAAATCTAAGCATTAAAAAAATTAGAGGATTAATACATCGTAAGAATGATTAAAATGCTAAAATCGGCTAATAATATTTATTTAGTATATGAACACTTAAATGGGGGATCGTTAGCAAATTATTTATACGAAAAAGGTAGACTAACAGAATAAGAAGGAAGATAAATTATGTCCAATGTATTTAAGTATACTTTTATTATTAATATTTAGAGGTTTTAAGACTTTAAATCATGAGAAAATTATTCATAGAAATATAAATCCAAATAATTTATTTTTTAATGATGGAATAGTTAAGATAAAGAATTTCTTTTGTTGTAAATCACCGGCAAGTTAGAAATTATTTGATCCTGGTATTATATATATATTATATAGAAAACTTTATATACTCTGCTCCTGAAATATTGTTAAAAACATAATAGCCATAATATGAAGACAAATGTGATATATTCTCTTTGGGATTAGTGTTTTATAAGATGTTTTTAGGATAATTACCATTCCCAGAAACTTTAACTTAAGATCAACTTATTGATTTATATAAAAATTAGTAATTCAATCCAAATGTTGAAGATTTATCAGAGAATACTGCTTACATTTTGAATGGAATGTTATAAGTTGATTAAGCAAGAAGAATAGAATGGTAAACTTTATTTCATGAAGATTAAGTACCTACTATGTCTGGTTTGGTAAATTCTACCAATACAAATTTTGCTTCAAATTATTAAATTAATTCATAAGTATAATAATTTGAGACTGGAGGTTAAAATTTTTATATTTCACAATAATCTTTATAAAATCATATAACTACTAGTCCTAATGAATTAGTTAAACGAAAAACAAATGTTTCTGATAAAGAAAACATAAAATTAAATAAAGAAAATGATTAAGCTTAAATCTTTGCTAAAACAACAGAAAAAGAATAAAATCTATCATAATAATAATCATAATAATAAACTTTATAAATTTAATAATCTAATATTAATAGTTCTTCTTAAAATGTAGTTAAATAAATTTAAAATTAATTAAGTGAATTAAGACATAAATTTAATATAATAATACAAGGAACATGTAAAATTGAATAATTAGAAAATTGGTCAGCTAAAATAAAAACAGAAATCTGCATGATATTCCTATTAAAAAAAGCAATTAAATGCATAAATGAAATGTTAGACATTTGCTAGAATACTGATAGATAATGGGCAATTTCAAAGAATAAATCAGAAATAATTAAGATTCTATAAAAAGACTTTGATGATTTAGTTACAAATTATAAATATGTTAAATAAATGGTATAGAAATAACTATCTTATTGAATAGAACACTTGTCCACATGAAGAATTAAATACACACGAAATGATAGATGAATAATATGTGGATAATGTATTAATAATGATAGCAAAATAAATTGCTATGGATTTAGGATAAATTCGATCAAGTATGAGAAGTAATTCTTAAATTAAAAGCAATGTAATTTATATATTTTCTAATTTAATTAGTCATTCAATTATGAATAAACTAGTTAGAGGAATGGCAGTTTTATTGAATCAAAATAAAGTACTTCAAATTAATACATTTTTGCAATCTTTTTAATTGATTTAGTTAAAGGAATGAATTTTGAAGATTAAAAACCTTATTTTAAAAAGTTAGAAGAATCAAAATTACCAGAATTGTTAGATTTTAAACTCAAATCTATTTGATTGTATATTTTATAATAAACATATTAATAAAATTATTTTTATGATCTAAAAAACTGAATACTTTGTCAATGAAGATTAAGAAAGAGAATATAGAATTCAAAGTAAGAATAGTATACATTAATTAAAGGGATGGAAAAATAATTAATTGAAAATTAGTTTACTAAATAAACATATCCCAAAAAATATGATTATACACTATAAAAAAGTGATTATTCTGTTCCAATTAATTAATTGGATTATAAATCATTATATCAATCATATATGCCTTAAGATTAGAAATAGATAAGTCTTTAAAATATATAAGTTGTTAAAAATAAAGCTTCATCATTTATATTTAGCCATGATAATAATAAAAAAGAATTAACTCCTAATAAAAAACAATAATAATTATTATATAGAGATATTTTATAAAAATAAGTTGAAGAGAAATAAATATAATTAAAATAGTAAAAAGTGAAACACGAATGTACTGATCTCTTTACAAATAATTTGTAAAACATAACAAATAATAAGATTAATAATTTAAGTAAGTCAGAATATTAGAATTATTTATAATTATAAATATAAGAAAAATAAGGCAATAATAAAATATTTGATTCTCCTAATAAAAATTAATAATAAGTTGAGGAATAGAATTAAGATAAAAATTCTAAAGGATCAAAAGAATTTTAAATAATTTAGAAGTAATTAAAATAATATTAGGAAGAAAAAAAATAAAAGGATCGAAAACTTTTACTGCAGTAGAAATTTGAGTAGTCAACGTCAATTCATGAAAAAACAAAGGAAAAGACTTATTCTCCTGAGTTTCATAATAGAAAGAGAAATTTTATCTAAGAAGATGAAGAAGAAAAAGCAAGAACTCAGCAATAAAAAAGTGTTGTATCCAAAATATTGACTGAATAAATATAAGAAAAATAAAAAAAAAGGAATGAGGAGAAAAAATAATAGGAGACAGAAGATAAATTGGCCGAAGAGAGATGGAAAAATGAGGTTTAAATGATGAAAGAGGAGAAAAAAAAAGAAGAAGAACTTAAAAAGGAATAATAAGGAAGTAATTGAATTATGATTAATGAATTATTTAGAAATTCAATAGGAGAATATTAGAATGCATTAAATGAGGCTTAAGCAATAATAAGGTAAAAAAAGGAGCAATTCGAATTCATTATAATAATCAAAGAATGAGGAAGAATTTAAAGAAGAACTTAAAATGATTCAATAAGAGATAGAGGAATAATAATATTAATAATAATAATAATAATAATAATAATAATAATAATAATAATAATAATAATAATAATAATAATAATAATAATAATAGATATAGTAATAGTATTAATAATAAATAGAGTAATAATAATAATATTAGTAATAATAAATTGTCTCAAAAAATGAATAGGAGGAAGAAATACCATAATAATATTATTAATATGCAGAATAGAATATTAAACCAAATAAAACAATAAGCTTTATTGATTAATAGAATTTAGAATTAGACTAAATAAAACATTAGATGATAGAATAATAATAGTAATTAGAAAGACAAATTCATGCGGCAAAAAGTTTGGCTTAAATAGGATTATTAGAAGGGAAGAATAGAATAGAAAAAGAATTCATAATTTAAACAGGTAGATATAATAAATACTTTAATGAAGATTATTCATTAGGATTGTTAAATAAAAATTAAAGTAAATATTAATATGAATTACCCTTTCTGTTTAATTAAAAAATTTAGCATGATTATTTATATACAGATAATCTTTTAGACAAAGTTCATATAAATGGTAAATCTCCATTGATTCCAATATCTACTCAGCTTAACAAAAAAAATGCATCAACAGATTAATAACAAAATTAAGCTAGGTCGAAATCTATTTCTCAAAATTCCAAATAACATTTTCATACTTAAATATTAGATTCACAAAATCTAAAATAAAATGATGCTTTGAGTAAATTGCTTTTAGAGTATCATGAATGAATTAATAAATATCAACTCGTATTAACAATAAATTCTATTTCATCATTAATTTTAATTAATAGATTATTCATAAAAGTGCAATAATTCAATCAAGGCATACAACATTAACTATCTTGTTCAACTCCTTTTTTATTTTATTTTTATTATTACTATGGTGAGTTCTATTACAATTTCATTCCTACTTTACTTTTTTAATTTCTAATATTTATTAGATTAAATTGTTTACTAATTTGGTTTTCCAACTCTTTAGATGATTTGCCTAGTAATTAAACTAAAACAATTTTCAATATTGATATTTGTTTTAGCAGATGTTTCAATATATGAAATATTGAATGATTTAGCTTGAATGATAAAATTGAATACCTAATGCTTCAGCTTCATCTGTTGATACTCTTCTTTAAGAACTATCTATTTTATTTCCAACTAATATTTTATTGACTGATTCTGCTGCAAATTTATCAATCTCTTGCATCCATTATCTAATTTAGTTAAAGGATTCTCTATCTGTAACATCGAAGACTATAATGATTCCTTAAGCTCCTCTAGAATTTAATATTAAATATAAAATACCTATAATAACTGCTTGTAATAGTTCTGAATCTATCCTGACCTGCTGTGTCCCACTAAAATATTGGAATTATGTATGTTTACTATTTACAATTTGACAGTTGATTTATCAATTTAAAATACTTTAATTTTCTAATGTATTTAAACATATATATTTACAAAATCAACACCAATAGTATTATAGAAATGATTTGTAAATTAGTTTTCCTATATTTTTAAATTTTTAAATTATTACGCTAAATCTCATTAACATGCATGATTTACCAACTCCACTATTTCCAATTAATAAGACTTTAAATAAAAAATCACTAATTTAGTAAATGATATTTACCATTCTGAGCTTTATTGTACATAATAATCTGACATAGTTTATCAGAATATAAAAATTAGAATTAATAATAATTAATATAAATAAATCATAGTACAATGTCATATTTCGACCTTGTAATTTTACGATTTTGAATTCTTAACTTATTCAAAGGAGTACTCTCTTCATATTCAGCTAATTCAGCCATTTCATTTTCTATTTCAGCAATTTTTATTTGTTACAATTAATTTTAAAAAGTATTTCTTCTTAATAAACTACGTTTTAAAGTAATAGAATCTTATTTTTAGAGAGAATTCTTTCTTTTCTTACCACTACTTTAATTACTCATTGTATCCTTCAAACTCACTCTACATTCATCATCAAATAACATTCTATTAATGATATTTTGTGGATCTGTATAAGATAATCTTATATTCGAGACTTCATTATCTTCTTCTCCACTACTACTGCTACTATAATTATCTTCAATAAATATTCCTAATCTTTTTATTTCATGACTCTTTATAACACTTTTTTCAATTAAATTAATATCTACATCAAATCGTTTAATTCTATAGAATAAAATATACAATAGACCTTATATATATTATAATATAATATTACCTTCAAATTTTATGTATAATGGCAGAGTTCTTCTTTATTTAGCATTTAACTATTTAATCTAATAATTATTTGAATTTGGTGATATAAATTCTGCAACTCTAGCTATAGCTTCTATAAATTCAATAAATTGCATTTCAAAATGTCTCTTTTAAGTAATTTCATCTACTTGCATCATTATTGATTGTAAATAAATAAAATAGAGTTATTATTCATTTATCAAATTAGGAAAAAAGTCTGAATTTTAAAGTAACATCCTAAAATCTTAAAAAGAAACATATTTTTCTTTAGCATGTGGTTTATTCGAGAAACTTGAAGTATATGAAAATAATTATTTTAGAAATGGCAATTTGAGTCGAATTGTCATATCCATAATTTATGTCCAATATCTCTCATCTCTCCACTATTATGCACATCCATAATCTAAAATAAAACCAAATTATCCTGTTTATGCTTGCATCATTTTATCAAATCCTTAAGCTATACTTGAACAATTTCCTTATTTAACATATGTTTCCTTAGCTAATCTTATTAATAATTCTAAAAATTGATGTCTAACTAATGCTCTTTCTTGAATATATTAAGATTTTAATTCTTTAATAACTATAGTACTAATTAGGCATATTTCCCAATCTACTTATTTAATCAATTGATTATTTTTAGATTAATAATAAAATCCTTAAATTGTTTAAATATTTATTCTTGGAAAATCCTATTCACATTACTATGAGGCTAAATATTTATAACAAGAGATTATGTATTTATAATATTTCTTTAATTATTCCTATAAATAATTAAATATTAATTTACTTTCAAAGGATTTATCTCATTATTATTCATTAAATGTTTTAATATTTTACTGTTCTCTAGATCTGCTTCCAAACATTATTCTAAATGTACTTCTGTATCTTCATCAAAATCTTTGAAAATTGAATTATCTAAAGTCCATTTTCTTTTTTTAGCTAATTCAACATCAAATTCCACTATTTTTTCAGGTTCTCTAGGTTTACATTAAATATTAGCTAAATAATGTTTTTTTTTATCAAAAATAGGAGTAGATTATGATGTTTACATCATATTAACTGTATGTAAAGGTTAACTTTATAATATTTTTCCATTAGAATATTCCATTTGTACTCCAAAATTTCTTAATTAAGAATGAATTTAAGTTTAGATTGTCTTTTGATCTTTAGCATAAACTTAAACATTTTATACTGGATTACTAAAGAAATATCTAATTGTTTGATTAGGTGGACACATTCTGTATAAAGTAAAATATCCATCATTTGTTTTTTGCATAAGTGATGGCTAATAATCTTCAAATTCAAGATGAATAAATATTGGATCTTCATCTAAATATCCAGATTTATGTGGTTTCCATTAAAACATAATTTCAACCCAACCTTAACAAATCCAACAACTTTCCAATTATAAATTTACTATATCTACACTCTAAATTCTAATAAATTCATTCTTTTTCTTTTAAGTTTATTATTCCATTTATTGCATTTGTAATTCAAGTTATTTCTTATCTTATTCTTCTATATTAATATCATCTTATTATGATTCTGTAACTAATTTTTTGTTTTTTTATTCTTTAAGATATCCTTTATGATTTATTTCATAATTTGAATTGCCTTCAAAATGAAATCCATATATAATCTTATTAAATTCTAATTCATTTGCTATTTTCTTGGAATCAATATCTTTGAAATCATTATGTGATAAATCTAAATGAATTAATTCAGGATGAGGTCTTCCAATCAAATTACATATTTCATTAGTACAATCCTTATTTCCTCCTAATTTATTAAATGAAATATCTAACACTTTTAACACAGAATTTTTACTCAATCCTTTAAATAAGAATATACCTCCTTTAAATGTTATTTTATTATAATGTAGATATAATTCCTATATGATATTATTCTATTATTAATAATTATAATATATACTTTTTTCATCATCTTTCCAAATGGTTCCATAACTTAATCCTAAATTTAATTATGAGATAAATTAAGAACTCTTAAACATTTATTATTTTACAATGAATCTATTAAGTATTTTAAACCTTAATCTCCAATTTGATTGTTTTCTAAATTAAGTTCAATTACAAATTAGTGTTATTTTAATAGTAATTTTTATATAAATAAACATCCATTTTTAGATATTTTATTATTTTTTAAATCTAAATATTAAACTGATTTTGGTAATTGATCCAAAACTATTTCCAAATCTTCATTATTCAAATTATTAGAACTAATATTAAGTCTTTCTAATTAATTGAATGTTGATGATCCTAATCCTGCTGCAAACATTTTAATATATTATTGACTACTTAATTAACCAGCAACACTAATTTCTTTTTTATTATTATTATCAATTATTTGCATCTTTCTAGGCATACATTATTGTTATTCCATAGCTTTATTTAAGTTTACATAAATATTATTTGGAGTTTCATTGAATGTTTGAACATCTAAACATTTTTTTGAATGTTTGTAAAATTTATAATAATCTTAAGAATTAGGAGTATTAATGATTTATTATCCTAACTTTTAATAATCGATTGATTGACTTTTAGATGAAAACAAAGATTATGTTGAAGGAAAAGAAATGACAGAATAATTTTCTTTAAATAGTTTCTTTTTTATAATCTACTCTTTTGATATCTCTTATACTAAATGATATCTTGAATTTAAGGGAGGTAATTTATTTTCTGATAAAATTGGTTTAGAAGGGAAAAAATGTTTTGTTTGTTATTAATTTGTTAAGTTAGTTTCTTTCAGTTAAATACTTAATGGTGTATTTGAATCTGATGTTTAAAATTCTGTTAGATCAAAAAATAGATTGTCATCATTCTATTTTAGATTCTTAACATTCTGGTCTTACTTTGTATTGAAGGAGGATTTGGTGTTAATAGATGTTCCTGAAATATTTAATTTCATTTTTTTATTAAAAAAGTAGTTAATTTAACAAATAAATATTTTATTAAATTACAATAAATATTTTAAATTCTTCCTCCAAAATGAATTAAAATAAAGAGAATGAATATATAGTTGATGTCTAAAGTTATTTTACTAATAAGTGTATAACATCAGCAAGAAGTACTTCATTACATGAAGATAATACAATGAAATTTAGTAGAAACAAGAATTTATTTGAATAAAAACAATAAGAAAATGAAAAAGTAAAATTATTTACTAATAAAATTTAGGAATTAAAAAAGAAATGGTCAGATATAGCTAAAGATTGGTAAAGATATAAAAGAGATGTGAAAGTATTTCAATTAGCAGAATTTGGTATACCTATAAGTGCTAGAAAATAAATATGGCCTTTAATTGTTGGAAATAAGTTATAAATTACTAAAGAACTTTATAATATCTTACAAATTCAAAGTAAAACATTTAAAATGGACTCAAGAAAACCATTAGGAAGAATGTCTTCATTTAATCATATCAAATAAGATTTAGGGAGAACTTTCAAAAATGAAAGTATTGATCTT